TTCAACACAGCGCTGGAACAAGGCAAGTGGGACCTATGTCAACACGATTCGATTTCTTAAAGCCATTGGATCTGGAGAATCTGAGATGCCTCCATCCACACCTACAGCTCAAGAACCCTGTTCAAGTGGTGGATTTGAGTTCTTCAGGAATTGAAGCATCAGTTTATCCCAATCACTTGAAAATGCTCCTCCTAGTAAATTCATCTTATAGAAAACACTAAGTATGCCATCTGGTCCTTCTGGAAAAAGATGGAGCAAAGATAGTGACAGTGCTGAGAACATGTACATTGACATGACGCTATGGAGACATGCTCGGTGTCTCTTAGAAGACGTGCGATTAAAGGACCTTGGCTGCTTTGCAGCCCAGCTAGGCTTTAAGCTAATTAGTTGGTTATGCAAGGAACGTACTCGTGCTGCCCAAGTAGACAACTTTGTGATTGCCCTGAAAAGACTCCACAAAGATTTCCTTTGGCCACTTCCCATCATCCCAGCATCTTCTATCAGTTCTCCTTTCAAAAATGGAAAATACTGAACAGTAGGAGAGCAGTTCTTAAAGTCTCAATCAGCTGACCCTTTTATAAACCTTGAGATGGACACTGGTGTCTCTAACATGCAACGGAGTCAGAGCTGGCTCAGCAACATTAGCCCAACCCATAATGAGACAGACAAAGCCTCATCCCATGGACCACAAATGCAAGATGCTTTCTTGTCACCTTTATCTACTAAAGGTGATGAATGCAGCATTGGTTCATCCACAGACCTGACTGAAAGTAGGTCCATGGTAAATGGGGACTGGACAATGGTAGATGAAAATTTCTCCACACTCAGTTTGACCCAGTCAGAGTTGGAACACATCTCCATGGAGCTGGCAAGTAAAGGACCTCACAAATCTCAAGTCCAGCTCCTGTACTTGTTACATATTTTCATGGAGGCAGGGTGTCTGGATTGGTGCATTGTCATAGGCCTGATTCTTAGAGAATCTTCAATAATCAGATTTGGTTACTGCACAGTCTTCAGAGGTAGACGGAGAGGCATTACAAAACATAAAGACAGGACTTCATGCAGTGGACAGATGGGCCTCTACAGATTAGGCTAAAAGTAATCTTTGGAAATATTCCAAAATAAAAGGAATCTGTAAGTTTTTCCTGTTTGTGAATTTCCAAAGACAGAAGCAAACCAAGCGGCCTGTGAAGGAACTGCTGCAGGTCCACATGGAGTACCTGAGGGCTATGATGGGTGTGGTTTGATTTTCCTGCCTCTTTTCTATCTCCAACTGGTCACCCTTGCACTCTTCTTGTATTCCTGGCACTTTCATATAAAATTTGAGCTACCTTTTCTAAGACTTGAAGTCAGAGGGCTCCTGGGCAGCTCCCTGCACTCTTCAGGAAAAAGCTGCCTTATGTGCATAATACATTCTAACATAAGCAGGAGTTAGTCTCTCAATGCAAATGTGAGAGTTACAATTACAGTGCATAAATACTAACATGTAAATAGATGTCTTTAAGTTTCTTTTTCCTCTGCCTTTTCATTTCTGTTTATCCCAACATGTGTTTAAGGCACCTCATTCCAAGAGCTCAAAGGTTTCTGCCACATGATTTCAGGACAAGTTAAAGTTCATTTGACAAACTCTTTGCATACTAAAAGAGGTGTTATAACTATTAACAATTAGATGTTCAACACAGTGTTAATCAACAGGCTTGGTCTTTTTCCAGGCATGGTGCTGCACACCTGTAATCCCAGTACTCAGGCGGCTGAGGCAGGAGGACCACCATGAGTTCAAGGCCAGCCTGAATTACATACATAGAGAGATCCTGTATCAAAAACAAAACAGCCCAGCCTGGGCAGTTTAGTGACTGAGACACTGTCTCAAAATTTAAAAAGGCTACGACTGGGAATGTAGCTCAGTGAAAACACCCTAGGTTGAATCCCGAGTCCTGAAAGAAAAAAAAGAAAAGAGAGGAAAGAAAATAGGTTTTACAGAAAGTACCCAAACTGTATCAAAGATAAAATAAACATCTCTCAAATCTAAAAAAAGAAAAAAAAAAGCCTACAGCAAAAAACCATACCTTAAGGTTTATCATTAAAATTATTTTCTTTAAAATCAGGAACAAGAAAGGATGCCTGGTACCATTACCTCTATTCATTATTTTATTTCCCTGGAGATCCTAGAGTTCAGTAAGAAAAGAAAATGAGAAAAGGTTTGAGGATTAGAAAGACATAAATAAAATCATCATTATTTGTAGATGATATAGTTTTAGTCTAGAAACCAAAGAAACTAAAAATAGTATAATAAAGAAGCTAAAAATAAATAGAATTATAATAGTATTAATAGAATCAATAGTTTAGCAAGATTTCTCAATATAAGATTAATATATAAAAATCACATTTCCATTCACTAGTCATAAATACTTATGAATATAATTTTAAAATGTCATTTATAAGACTAAAAGTACATTAAATTGTACATACATGTATAATTTTTGTAGAGAGAACTTACGAATCTTCTTGAAAAACTTGTGAAAAACCCAGCATACTATGCTCATACAAATGCTCTATGTTCATGGACAGGAAAGCTACATATCTCAAATTTATCTATAAATTTAATACACTTTCAATCAATATTTAAGTAGAGTAGTTTTAGGGATATGACAATAGGAACCTAAACTTACATGGAAGATTAAATGGCCAAGAATTTTAAGGATTGAAGAATGTAAGGATGTGAGGGGCAGCCCAGAAATGGACTAATGTGTATTTGGAAATTTGACACATGACAGAAGTGGAATTGCACATCAATGAGAAAATAGTGGTAGGATAATCAATTATCTGCCATTGAAAATAAAATAAAAATTCATATCTATCTCACACTATACACTGATTAATTCTATATACATGAGGATTAAACATAAAAGGGAAAATTTATGATTTTTTAGAGGAAAATATGAAAGCATATCTTTAGGTCTAACAATGTGGTTCAGAGGTGGAGCATTTGCCTAGCATATGTGAGGCTCTGAGTTCAATCCCCAGCATCACATACATCCCAAAAGAGTCTTGAGTAGGAAAGTTATTTTTTAAGGATATAAAGATGAAAACCCACTAAAATTATTGGTGTGTTTGACATATTAAAGAACTGTGCACTGAAAGACATCATATAGAAAGTGGAAAAGCAAGCTGAAATGGGGTGACCATGTTTACCATATATGCTCAGTTTAAAATGATTATCCAGCATATAAAGAATGCTTACCAATCAATAAAAAATAAACAATCAGACATGAAAATAACTAGTATTTTATAGAAAGGAAACATGTACAATCAATCAGCATATGATAAGATGTTCAATCTAAGTAGAAATGAGGAAAAGTAAAATCACAAAATACTTTTTCTCTTCTATTTTCTTTTTTTCAGTACTGGCAATTGAACCCAGGGCCTTGTACACTGTAGGCAAGTACTCTACCACTGAGTTACACTCCCAGTCCCACACCTTTCTTAAAATCTTGAGATAGTGTCTCAGTTACCAAGACTGATTTAAACTTGGAATCCTCCTATCTCAGTCTCCAGAGGAGTTGGGTTTATAGGCTGACACCATTGTACCCAGCAAGATCATTCTGTATCAACCAAAATGACAGACTGGCAATGTCAAGAATTTTTTTTATTCAAAATAAAACCACTGTATTACGGTATAATTTACATACAATAAAGTGCACTATGTAAAGTGTACACTTTAATTTCTGACATATGCAAAAACTGATGGGAATGTAGAACTATGTAATTGGTTCAATCCCTTTGGAAAACATTTCAACATTGTCTAATAAACTCAATAATAAAAACCCAAGAATTCTATTCTAACTATGGCTCCTAAAAAAAATCGCACATATAAACATGAGACAAACACGAAAGTGTTTATAGAAGCATTTTTGTTTGTTTGCAATAGCAAAAATCGGCAAATGGTCCAAATGCTCTTCAACTCAAATTGGGGTATATACCTACAGTTGAATACTATAAAGAAAAATGAATCACAGCCATACCATCAACACTGAAGATTCTCATTTCAGTACTTTTCAAATGATGTATTTTCCTAACGTTCAGCTTTTGCTATCATAGTTTGAGAGCAGTTTTGTGTGTCTTGTTATTGTCAGTACTTCAAGTTGTGGTAACATGAGTTGGTGACCGAAACTGGGTTCTGAGTCACTGGGGAGGGAGGAGCTTCGTTTCGAGTTAGGCCTGGGTCACTTCAACAAAAAGTACTTGGCCCTTGAGATGCGGTGGCCCACATCTGTAATCCCAGTTACTTGGGAGGCTGAGGCAGGACGATACCAAGTTCCTGTCTCAATAAACAAACAAATAAACAAATAAATAAAACTAAAAAGGACTGGGGATGTAGCTTAGTGTTGCCATGCTTATCCAGGATGCGCAAGCTCTTGGGTTCAATCCCCAGTACAGAGACGAAAAAAAAAGCACTTGGTGCAAACTCACAAAGTCAGCCTACTTTTCAGAATTCCCGGAGGCCACTTGTTACTTCCTCCTCACACCTTTACCCAATTACAGTTCCTCGTCTTAAAGTGTTCGCGTGTCTGGTAAGTAGACCCGCCCCATGGCGCTCAGGGGCACTCAGTTCCCGAACGGTGAGCAGTGGCCGACAGCAGGGAAGGGCAGCCGTCCCCGCCCGCCAGCTCCGGCCCGCCGCCCCTCAGGTTCTCTAAACAGAACCGGGCAGGTTTCTACTTCAACGAAGCTCTTTCGCTCTCTGACCAAAATTCTCAACTCTGTACAACCATGACCACGTCATTCTGCCCAACCTAAGACCTCAAACAGAGAAATCCTCAGGTGACCTGATCCCGTTAAAAACAGAGCGCACCACGAATACGGGCTCCAACCAATCCACCGCCCAAGGTTTCACACAGCCCGGCCTCGGCCAGAGGTGAACACTGGACCGCGGGGTCCACGCCTCGTCTGACGTCACAAGGGGCGCCGTGCAGCGACTGCCGGGCTTAGACGTCATCTGGCTGCGCCGAGCTGGCCATTGCTTATCAGTTGCTAGGGTTGCCTGCAGCCGAGTAGCTCTGTCAGGACCATGCCTGACAGGGACAGATTTCATGGTCAGCAGAGGCTACTAGGCTTGAATGAAAGAAGCAGGGCAGATGCAAAATCTGGAGAGTGTGGGCGCTGGGCGGTCAGTCAGCACCCAGACTGGCAGCATGACGGGTGAGTGCCTACGACCTTGCTTCTGCCACCCCTGCGCTCTGCCCTGCGCGTCTCCCGCCGTTGAACTCCGGGTTCCCTGCATCCCCTACTTCGTCTGCTCTCCGGCTCCTAGGTGTCTCATAGCCGCTATGGGCGCATCCCCGCCTCTGCCACGGGGACCTCACCTCACGGATGTTATCTGCTCCCCCCCCCCCCTTTCTCAGTACTTGGGATTGAACCCTGAGCTTTCGCTCTATGCTACATCCCTAGCATTTTTTATTTTTTAAGATGGGAGCGGTGTCTCGTTAAATTGCCCGGGCTGGGCCTCGAACTCGTGATCCTCCTGCCTCAGCCTCTCAAAGTGCTGGGATTACCCCCATGCACCACTGCGCCCGGCTACTCCGGTTTGTAAAGTACTCGTTGCCCCCCATACTATTCCTTGAGGGACCGAGAGCAGACATCTCGGGGTTAAAGAACCTAAACGGTTTCCCAAGTCATGCTTTTGCCTTAATTTCCACATTAACGGCACATGACTCTTCACGGTCGAAGCATTTTTAGGCAGTGTTCCTAATCACTGCCTTTGTAGCAACACCTCAACACAAACCAGAGATAAACTTGCTGCACCACGACGTCAGATGCAAGGACTTTCCCAACTTTCTTTGGGTCGTCCCCATAGCGACGTGCCTCAGTTATGTTATTTTTTTTTTTTGGCCAGGTGAGGGCTGAAAAAAGGACCTAAATTTGCAAAGTGCTTCAGGAGGTCACCTCAAGGGAGACTGTAGTGTCTGCTGCTAAAAAGCTATGATTCTCTTGTCCGCTATTCCATTGTCTCTTTCCTGTGCTAAAGCTGCCGAACGAAGGCTGCAGCACCCAAATGACTTTAAGCTTAATTCCTTTTGTCATTGCCAGTAAAATCCTGAAGTATTTGCCCTCCCTTTTGTAGGTCAAATACCAAGGCTTTCTAAAGTCAACCTCTTCACTCTGCTCAGTCTGTGGATGGAGCTCTTTCCAGGAGTAGAGGCCCAAAGGCAAAAATCTCAGGTATAATTTGTTTCCATAGTTAGTTTTTACCCTTAGCAAAGCAGTGACCTTTATTGTTCCAGTTGCAGTCACACTTAAAACCAAATTCGGCAAGTCTTAAGATTTGAGAAAACTTTTATGGGTTAGTGTGATACTTGTAACTCACAGTGCTAATAGCTCATCTTTCCAATCTAAGAACAGAGTAGTCACTCAGATTGTGCCATGTTTATTAGTTGTATGGTATTTATGTTAGGCCAATAAGATTATTGTCAATACCACATAATTCATTATCCAATTATATATTGTTGGTGTTTTATCTAGGTCATTTTTCCCTCTCACTGACCTGTAAATTGGTTAAAGTTAGAAGCCATGTCTTATTTATCTTAGTCTTCCCTTTAAAATAAACTATTATTAACAGTTAATCTACTGATTGCTAATTAGGTGTCTTGCTAATTGGTTTCTTATTCTATGTAAGTCCTTTTTAAAAAAATCTCAGATGATCAAAGCAGGTTAGAAATGTGTATTAAGAATAATCATAAAAACCAGTGTAAAGGAAATGTACACATACATCTCTTTATTTCTTTACCATTTACTGTAGTATAATTTTTCCAGTTTAATTGCATATAGTCTTCATAGAATGTAAACATCAACAATATATAATTGGGTAATAAATTATATGGTATTGACAATCTTATTACATATAAATACTATATACACAATAAACAGCACAGCGTAGGAGAATGACTTCTATTTTTAGATTGGAAAAATGAGCTATTACCACTGTGAGTTACAAATATCTATTAGGAAAAATAATGTTTTTAAAGCTAAAGTAAAGTAATAAGATTATTTCACTTAAATTCTGTATTCTACCTTCACTATTCAAAGTAAGTCACAGAATTTCCAACATGCAATTTGACATGTAACTGTATTGGAAATAACTGCTTTTGACATTTTTGTCTTTTTAAAAGTATTTATAGGGCTGGGGATTTAGCTTAGTGGTTCTACTGCCTGCCTCTTAAGCGCAAGGTCCCGAGTTCGATCCCTGGTACAAAAAAAAAAAAAGTGTTTATAAGTTACCAAAATAACATATACCCATTATTCACAAAGTGGGCAAAAGAAAATAATTCATATTTCTACCATCTAAAGACTGACATTTTTGTATTCTCAATCTTTCTTCCTTTACTCATTTGAGATCATTTGATTGTAGATCCTACCCTTTTCAGTTAAATATAAGAAAATACATGTGTTGCAATATTATTATAAACAATAAGGCAGCAACTTACTCTAGTATTGTAAGAATAGCCAGTTTTTTGGTTTTGAGCTTGCCTGAGTTCAGTTCCTGACTCCATCTCCTACCAGTTGTATACTTTGGGGTAAGTTGCTTTACCTCTATGTCAACTTCCTTTTCATGCTAGTACATGCTACATGAGATGTTTATGGGCAAGGAATTAATTAATATGTATAAAGCTCTAAGTTCCTGGCTTATGCTATGCACTATGTGTTCTTTCATTATGATTTTAATAAATTACACTTGTATCAATTGCCCTATCCTCTTATTGGACATTTAAATTGTAATTTTTGCCAACGTTAGTGTATTATGAACTTATAATTACTTCCAAATATAACTGCCTGAGTTTTTCTGTTGTCAGTGAGTTTTTCTGTTACACTGTTTGGATACTCTTTAAGGATTGTTTGTGATATACATTAAATATAATACTAAGAAGTTTTAGCTGGGTGTAGTGGCACACACCTGTAATCCCAGCACCTGGCAGGCTGAGGCAGGAGGACTGTCATGAGATCAAGGCCAGCCTGAATTACATGTGAGACCTGTCTCAAAACAAAACAAAACAAAATTAGGAATTTTTAAGAGACTGTTATAAAACTAAATGAGGGAGGAAAAGTAATTATTTATGAGACATGGGGGGATATAATTAATTAAAAATTTTAGGTTAGAAATCACCACTAGGAAAATGGCTGTCATTTAAAATCTCTGTCTTATTAGTTCATAGTTCTTTATTTTAGTTTGTTAGACTTTAACAAATTACCTTAAATCTAAGAATTAGAATAACTTGTTCCCTCATTTTTCTCTATACATCTCATATTGTCCCTTTCTCTCAACTCTTCGCATTGTGTCCTCTGGTACTTTTATATATCAAGGGGTAGCTATATAAGCACCCCTTGCTTCCTCTACTTCCTGTTGTGCTTGAATAGAAAACTCATTCCTAGGAGATGGGTTTCCTTGGAAGTTGTTCTTTTCGTGGAATCCAACACTTGTTTCATGCAACTCAGGTTAATATTCACCAAGTTTCCTATTCATACTTTAAATTTTTCCCCAATTTATTAACTATCCCACCTACTTTGGGGTTCATAGAATTCAACTATGTCACTTTGTCTTAAGCTACACATAGTCACTTTTGTATGCTCATAAATCATAAGGTCTGTGGGAAGATTGCACCCTGAGCAGTTAGGTATAGGCTAACAATTTAAAAAGGGTTTGATGAGTACTTGGTGAAATGAAGGAATTTGGCTCCTGCCTCAAAACTTTCTATGTACTTCAAGTTTCACTTTTAAAGGAGACTTGTGGAATCCCTGTATTTTTAAAAATTGCTGCTATAATAAATTATCACAAAATTTATGACTAAAACAAATATCGTACAGCTCTATAGGTCAGAAGTTCAAAATGGGTCTTAGTGGCTAAAAGTGTCAGCAGAGCTGAGTTCCTTTTGGAAGCTCTCAGAAAAAATTTGTTTCTTTGCCTTTTGCAGCTTTGGAAACTGCCTACATTTCTGGGCTCATGGGCCCTTTCTGTCTTCAAAGCTAGCAATGGCCAGTTGAGTCTTTCTCATGTGTATCAGCCTGACTTTCCTGCTTCCCTTTTTCAAATATAATGACCCTTGTGATAACATTGGGTCCACTATAATCCAGGATAATCTCCCCAATTGAGGCAGATGATTAGCAGCTTTAATTCCATCTATAACCTTAATTCCCTTTTGCCATTAACATAATATGGTCACAGGCTCCAGGGGCCTTTATTCTGCATATCACAATCCACATGTAATACCACTGCTTCATATTTTCCTATATTGTCAACTCCAATTAACTTACCCCTATTCTACCTTAGTCCTTCATAGCCATGGGTACCCTTTGGAATTTTCCATCATTCAAAATTGCCCCAGTTCTGGAATTGTAAACTACAAAATTTTTTCTAATCATAATTTCAATCCTATATTATGGGAAAGTATAGAAAGCAATTATAAAGGCCTTATTTAGTAGGTTAAATATAGTTTGAACTTGATCCCTGAACAAAGTGGAAGTCAATGCAGAGTTTCATCAAAGAAAAAAAGAATGCTTCAAAGCCAAGGAAACCAGCCTTTAAATATGGAAACATTGAATTAACAATATTAATCTTTTCCCCTCTTAATCTGGTTTTAATTAGAAAAATGAAGAGGGAAAGTGTGGACCATCAGGAGATAATGAAGAGATGGCCAATGTATCTACTGACAAAAAACAGGTGAACTTTTGTAATGTTTTAAATGACATCTGCTCATAATAACAAAGCAAAAAGAATGGTATAAAGTAGGATAAAAGACACTTTTATAGTCCAGTTCCCTATTCTTACTTCCAAGGGAGTTTCTTTATGTAGTTTTCTAAAAATCTTCTGTGCATTTACAAGCCTATGTGTCTCTTCTGTTTAAAAAACAAACAAACAAAAAGATTTGAGATTATTCTATGACATGTTCTTATATCTTGCTTTTTAAAAAACAATTCAAATGTAACTCTTTTTTTTTTTTGGTACTGGGGATCGAACTCAGGACCTCACACTTGCCAGGCAGGTGTTGTGCCACTGAGCTAAATCCCCGGCCCGCAAATGTAACTCTTAATGTCTTTTAATATTATATAGATGTGTCAAGAAACACTCCTCCATGGTTCTCTCATATGCTATGAATCTTGTTGATTATGCCAAGAATACAAGGCCCTAATTGTTCCTTGTACAGTGGACCCTCGAGTTACGACCAGCCTGACATATGAGCAACTTGGGATACAAATGGAATTTTAGTTTTTCTGAGTTATGACCCCAGTGCCGGCTGCTTGTGCTTCCAGATGGCCTCAGATACAGATTTAACCCTTGAAGAATTCTAGAAGGACCATTGCAACATCCTTTCCTGTGTGGGGTTAATTGAGAAATCCTGTGCCAATGTCTCTCTAAGGACACTGAGACCTGCCTGTTTATAGGAGAGAGACTTTGAAGGCTGTGTAGAGGAGCCTGAGCCTTCAGTTGACCAACTTGAGTTACAACCAGCCCTCGTGAATGAATTGAATTCATAAGCCAAGGATCCACTGTATAGGCTATTTCTTAGAATTGTATTTGCATTAAGTAACTTTGAGGGTGGAGATAATGTCTTCTGTTTAGACAAAGAGCAGAATTTACCATGAAACAATGGGATCCCCAAATTTGGTGTTCCTCTCTTATAACATGCTCCATTGCATGTCCAGGCAACCATCTGGGCCCATTTGCACCCATCTGCACCCATCTGCATTACCTTTCCCATGGGACTTGAGGGAATGAACCATCACAAACATGATACTTATAGTGCTGTGCCATGAATAGTAACCTAGAGTTTCATGTCTTCTGATAATATTCATGGAACAATAACAGGTAGTTGGGAAGTAGGATAAAAATCAAAGCCCAGACCTGAAAGATGAACCTTATTTTTCTGATACCACATAGTATTCCTTGTTACTTTAATATTTTGAGTTTTGTAGGGGTTCTGATGCATTGGATATGGAATAAAGACCAATAATTCATTTATTTATATTTTTATATCTTGGGATGGAGTCTCACTATGTTCCCCAGGCTGGTCTCAAACTCCTGGGCTCAAGTGATCATCCTGCCTCAGCCTCCCATATAGTTGGGGCTACAGGCATGCACCATGGTGCTGGCATGAGCATTTATATTTTGAAAAGAGTTAGTTTGATGGTTCTGTTGTACATTCCTGATGAGACTTCCAGATTAGTTTTGAGAATAAGTCTCTAAAATGCCTAGGAAGGATATAGAAATATTTCTCTCTGAATATTTAGATGTTTTCACTATAAGAAACACAAAGGGAAAAAAGATTGAATTTCCATTTAAGTAAATATACTAATTAGTATACAAAACAGACTGTCCCCTTTTGCTCATGTTTTAATGTAAGACTCTGTGTGTAAGATTGCATAAATGGCTTGCCAAGATGTTAGTGAAACAAAATCAAGATCCGGGACACTAATTCATTGAAAAAAATTCAATCTTCTAGTAGCTGTAGTAAGTGGAAGCGCCAGAATGGAATGCAACTTAGCCTTAGGTTTATTTTTGTCTCAAACTTGATATTTTGGCCTCCATAGATAGATAGATAGATAGATAGATAGATAGATAGATAGATAGATAGATAGATAGATAGATAGATAGATATTTTAAAAATGGTCAAGGTTTTATGGTCAGGGCTTCAGGGTGTCTGGCTTTATTTGCACCTGCCCAACAGTAGACTGCCTACTTGACAGACTAACGCTAACATCATTCAGTTGCAGCCACTTCCACTGGTCTCATTGATTCAGTTTAACAACATGGACTGTAGCACCAAGATCAAGATAAGGCATCATTAGTTAATTTTCCAGAGTGACTAGTTTTTAAAGCAAACTTGCTTGAAGTATTCAGAAGTAAATAACTATACAAGAAGTAAATAACGATACCTTGTATTCAAGGTATGTACAATTCTAAAATATTTTGAGATGGGGAGGGAAAATTCTAGGTAAATTTGAAGCTGTTTTAAAAAGCCAATACAGGTACTTTTTATTTACATGTCTATAGTTTAGGAACTGGTTGGGTAACTCAGAAACAGAATTCCATGAAATCTTTTTACATATTTCACAAGTATCCTTCTTCATAGTTTCAAACATTTATTCTCATAACTGAACTGAAACTTGACTATTTTATTTCATAGAACTTCACTCTAATCTTTAACATCATTTCAGATATGTTCTACTAGGAGCAAGTATAGGGTAACATCCTTTAGGAAGGAGTTGGGGAATGAGGGACACTTTATAAAATCTCAGCCAAGTTCTCCTCATGTCATAACTCCAGCCGAAAACCAAAGTGTCAGGTTTAGATTTCTTCAGATTCTTTTGCTGTGCAAACAGTGGTAGACTGTTTTGTTTGTGATTTATGTGGAACTGATTTTTTTTACATTAGTGTGTTTTATCTAATATTAATATTGTCACATCAGGTCTCTTTTATAAGTCGGGACACTTTAAAAAAACTTTTTGAACAATAATCTTTATTAGTGTGTCATCAAAGGTACATATAATTCTGAGCTACTGCACTGGTACATTTATCATTTACTCTCTGAAGTTTACATGTATTTTGTTCCAATCTCTCTGGTGAGTACATTTTTATACTAGTCAGGAACATAATTTAAAATATTAGTCTTATCCTTGGAATCACCAATTGACACAAATTATCTCATTATCCAACTCTATGACATGAAAGACTTTAGAACATTTCAATTAAGCAATTTCTTTTCAAAACTGCAAAGATGCAAGAGCTGATTACATAAATCCTAGCATATTCTTAGAAAACTATATTGCTCTTTATCTCTGATCTGTTTTCTTGAATAAATTGGATAATTATCTGACCAGTTATATTTCAGAAGTATGGTCAAAGTACCTCTAATCTTAATATTTTAACTAGTGAAAAATGTTATAGCTCCCTTCACATGTAAGTGGCACATAATTATCCAAATAAGAAAAATTTACCATGATCTAATGAAAAGGAGCATAACCCAGTGTAAATATATCTTTGATTAAATGGTCAGGTAAAAATATGTTATGTGAAAACCTTCCTTTCGTCTCTATAAAGGAATACATACAGCTGACTAACATTATATTCCATAAATCCAGATCACATTTACTATAACTGGCAAATGAAAAGACAAAAATAAAAGACAAAAACTCCTGTGATCATTGAGAAAAGACATTTATCCAACATCTCCAACTGTGGACAAATAAATATTTTCATTTTCATATTTTAAATTACTATCAAAATATTGTACAAATATCAAAATATTTCTACAAACAACAGCAACAACAACAACAACAAAAACCCAAGCAGCTATCTAGAAATGTTTCTCTGATAAGAATGTCAAGTTTTTTAAAGTACACTCAAATTTTTTTCCTGAATAGGGTCACTATAATCTTAGGTTAAAATTACTATAAGCAGTTCAAGCAAAAATGAATATTGGTTAGATTATAAAGCAAGCAATTTTTTTCTTATATTCTTTTATTGGTACATTTTAGGTATATAATACGTTTACATTTATCATTGGGTGCTTGTACGTGTACATGATGTATCTTGGTTCTTATTTTTTCCCCATTACCTGTGCGCCCTTCAACCCTCCACCTTTCCCTATTTACATAGACTTCATTTCCTTTTTTTTCTTTTCTTTTCTCATAATTTTTCCTTTCCATCCTTTCTTTTCTCCTTCCCTACCACCACCCCTACCCCTTTGGACCTTTTCCTATTTCAAAGTATCAATTATTAGTTATTAATCCTTTTAATCCTTATTTACACTCTCAGTTTCTCACACTAGAGAAACTATTGGTATTTACACATGTGTGTCCTATTTATTTCACTTAAGAGTATGGCCTCAATATGCATCCATTTAGCTATAAATGACTAGTTTCTCATTCTTTATGGAAGCAAGCAATTTTGATATTATAGTAAAAATGTAAATATAAACTTTTGTGGAAACATTTATAAACACTGTTTGGGAACACCCATAGATCAGCAAGTAATAGAATAACTGATTTAAACAAAACAAATGTGATATAATATGTAAGATTTGGTGACAAATCCAAAAATATCTTTTATTTGCTTTAAAAGAACATAAAAACACAGCTTTTATCTTTCTGAGTTTGAAAGTCCAGCAGCAAAACAAACTATTTGCAAATAATGTAGTGCAATCAGCATTTATTTGAAAAAGACTCCCAAAGTCTTGAAACTATTATATATAAACCAGAATGGAATCCATTAGAATAAATGATTTAAAGATGTCCAGAGTAGCTTATCGAGAAATGCTAGACACTCTCACCTGTATCACTAAATCATAAGCAAGTTTATGCAAGACTGTTCTGGGTAACTAACTCTTCTGGCTCACCAATAACAAGCTCGGATAAGGCAGATCAAACCTAAGAAATAATCAATAACCAAGAAGTGTAGGTTGCATGAAAATGCCTTGCAAAATCTTGAGTGCCAACAGTTAATCCAACTCCAATAAAAATACTTATCGTTCCAATGGTAATGTATGCACAGCAGCACCTTTGTGGAAGTACACTACCCACCAAAAAGATTGTTTTGCAGTGTGAGCATTTTGCCCGAGTGTTGAACCTCAGTTCCATCCACAGAAATGTGTTTTTCATGACCCTTGTATCTTCTTGGTTGGATTGGTAATGTAGGTTGAGCTGGCTGTTCTTCAGGAAGTAAGCATTACCAGACCAAGGTTAATTATGCATCTGCAGTTGGATCTCAGGCATCCTATTCAATGAGATGTGTCCCTACAAATAAGGAGACAATTACAAGGGCATCTAACATATTTCTTCCCTATTGGGGGGTTTTTGATTGGCGTAGCTTCATTGCAAACTGTGTATTTAACCACATGCTGGTGAAGTTTGCCATCCAAATTGATTAGAGATTGGCACACGCATCAGTTGATGATGGGAATACCACTGGCATCTGGATGGGCAATGACTGTATATGGAAGTAGAAGTTCTGCTCTGGGGCTGCTTTCTTGCAAGTATGGCAGGGCCATGGGAGTGACATTCCCCTAGTGAGCTACCAACAGCAGAGGTGAGAATCCTCTGCTCCATCAGCAGTCTACTGTGGTGAGCCCAGACAGAGCAGCAGGTGCAGCATTGGCAGAGGTGGAGGCCAGCACCGCCAATCATGACACTTGATTGAGAGTCTTCATTCACAGAACTTCATCCATGTCCAGCCAGCATGACTTCACTCAGGGTCAGCCAGCTCCTCTCTGGAATACTCTTGGGGAGCTTGCTGCTCCAGCACTTTCTGTCTCCCTTTCTGATACATGACACATGCTGTTATAGCTTACCTACATATTAGTAATAGGAAGGACTCAACTGCATAAGTTTAACCTGTCATAGTGCTAAAAATGAGAATTATCCTTATTGTAATTATTAAAAATATTTTAGCATTTCTGCCATGGGCCTCAGTAGCCACCCAGAAGCTGGGCCTTGGGAGCCAAGCTGGGTGAAGTAGTTACCACTCAGATTCTGGTGGCCACTGCTCTGGCTGCTGCCTGTGGGCACCATGTGCAGAGAAGATGTGACACTCTCAGTTTTAAGATGTAAAGCTCTGAAGGAAATGGATTTAATTTAAACTTTTGGGTCAGAATGTTACTGCTGCAACTTAAATTCCCAAATGGAGTTGACATACATGTCGTCAACTCTGCAGTTTCTATTGTGTACCAGTTGATGGAAGATCTGAAGCAGCTCTGGTCTGGAAACAGAATATATATATTAGGCTACATCCTGATAGTTGGATTTTTCAACCTTGCTGCCTATTACAAACATGAGCCCCTTCCTGATGCCAGGAGCAGAAGTCTTCTGATGTGGATGCTATTGTTGTTCTCCCTGGTTCTAACCTCCACCAGTGTGGCCATGCCTCATTTCTCTTACACAGTGATTGTCCTCCTCAAGTCCTCCCAGATTCTCTGCTACCCAATGAAAGCATTGGGTTATACGAAGTGGAGAGTGAAGCAGTTGTTTGCACAGCTGGTGCTTAGCTGGTGGCTAAGCACCTCACCGAAGATGAGTACAAGAAATAGGCAGCCAGTGCTCTGGAGGACCTGTGCCAAGCCTGCCACTGACCTGACCCCAACCTGGCTGACCATCTCTAGACTTCAGGCTCCTAAAAACTTTGCAGACTGTTCTTGCAGCAGGCAAGCTACTTGTTGCCTAAGAAATCAGTCTACATGAAGAGCAGAATGGCTTTGAGGGTGCCGTCTTGAAAGAGTAGCTCTTTTTTAGGTACATGTTTGTAGTGCATAATGTTTATATTCCTTGTGGTGAGTTGGTACATGTATGTAACACATCTTAAATTGTTTTTCATCCCTTTTCCCTCTCCCTCCCCTCCATCTCTTGATCTCCTTCTTCTTTGAGAAAGATTTATCTCCTTATTATCTCTTATTTTCTTTTATTATTATCTCTTATTTTCTTTTATTATTATCCATTATCTATCTGTCTATCTTTTTTCTTTTTTTTTTTTTGGTACCAGGGATTGAACTTGGGACCTTGTGCTTGCGAGGTAGGCAGTGGCACCACTGAGCTAAATCCCCAGCCCCATTATTGATCTTTTATTTTACTCCTTATTTTGCTTTGGTTTCTCGTATAAGAGAAATCATGCTTTTTAACCCACAGCCTGGCAGTCTTCCTGTGAGTTGACCTCACTCTGGACAAAGAAGTAAATAAAGGGCAGAGATATTGTTAAAGTTGTGCAGAACTCCTCTAATGAAGGGTGGAAGGAGTATGTGCTGTGGAGAAAAATAAGCCTTAGCGGAAAGGAAAATAAACGTATTGAAAGGGAACTTAATGTTCTTGGAAAATTCTGCTACCTATTGTAGGTGAGCACCAAGATTCTATGACACTCATTGCCACTTTCATTAGGAACAAGGAAATCATTGCTCTTCAAAGAACCATAAACATGACAGATACCTTAATGCCAGGGCTCTAAACCCTGTCTTACTCCCCTGAACCTGTGTCACAAGATTACATTATTCTACCTTAATTTCTTCACTATTAAGTGCTGAATGAGACCCGAGAAGTGCTGTTCTAGTGTTTTGCAAAGTATAATCCACAAAATACTAAAAAATTTTAGCCAATAGAGGGATTCTGAGGTCAGCTAAGATTGATACAAGGTTAAACCAGTATACTGCAGGTCTTCTCAGAGTTTTTAATGATGTTCATATACATCATGAATCTCCTAAAAGGAAGAAATTGTGCAGTTTCTTACTTAATTTGACCATGGAACCCTTTTTTATGAGATTACTACTCCTTGGTACACATGATTGGGAAATGCTAATTGATGGTAGAATTGAAGTGTGGGAAGTTAAATAACTTGTCCAAGACTACAAAGCTAATCCAAAAAACCACAGATAGAACTAAGTTTTTGTTGTTGTATTTTGAGACAAGGTCTTGCTATCCTGTTCGGGCTGGCCTTGAACTCACTATGTAGCACAGGTTGGCCGAAAACTCACAGCGATCCTCCTAATTTACCCTGAGTGCTAGGATTACAGGTGTGTGCCACCACACCTGACAAGTTTATAAAGTTTTGATAAAACTGAGCCGGGGATTTAGCTCAGTGGCACCGTGCCTGCCTGGCAAGTGTAAGGTCCCCAGTACCAAAAAAAGTTTTAATAAAACTTATATACATACATGAGGACTAGAAATTAGAATTACTTCATGCATTTTTGTATGTTGAAGTTGAAGGCATATAACCTTTGTGACATTGTAAGGGTCATTTAAAATTATTTTTCATGTTTGTAATGATTTCATACAAAATAGATTTGTGATATTTTTTAGAGGGATCAAATCTTTGTTTCTTGATTCATGATGTTAAACTCCAGAGTGAAATAAGGACAACTTTGACCTGGAGGAAAGGGGATTGAAATAGATTGAAAGAGTCTGAGGTTTGAACACAGCAGAACAATCTATGGGTTAAGATGTTGCTGAATTGATTCTCTGAGAATCCAACTTGGCTTTTTTTTTAACGAAGAGATCATAAAGAATGAGAAATTCCTTTTATTAAGAGAAGTGTAACGGGGAAAGGACATACAGAGAATGTTTGCCTTCCTGAGCCAAATTTAGTAGAACTTTTCTAAATTGTTAGAATCTGGCTACACATTTGCATCTTGGTAGATCAATTTTCAAATGCTACTTGCTCTTTGAAGCAGTATCTCAGCATTCACAGGTCTGCTTTTGCATCTTTTAATATTAGGAATCTTGCTTTTTAAAAAATAAACTTCACTAAATTCAATCGGTTCCTTTATGTAGACTTATTTTAAACAAAGTATATCATCCATTTTATGATGATGACTCTTTTTATAGGTGTAAGCAGGAGTCCTGCCATCATTTTTGTTAGTTTAAGCAAATTTTTATTTTTTATAATTATATTTTTGGTAATATAAGTGTATCAGATATATCAACACTTGAGGTTACGCAGCTCACCTCCCAAGAGACAATTTGTGTCACACAGACTGTGGGTGTAACGTGAGCATCTGCTAGGCGACAGCTCCACAGGGCCAATAGGCCAGTGTGACCATCACAGTAAAAACAGCTCACAAGAGAGAAAAGAACAAGTCTTCCAGGATATTGCTTTTCATGTTTGTTTTTAGAGGAATTCATGCATTTGCCCATTTTTGGGAGTACTGGGAGAACAAAGATGTTACTGGTAAAAAATTAAAATTAAAAAAATTGAATTTAAGATGATCTCTGCTTTACCTCTACCTTTTACCATCTGTGGATCTTTCAGAAAGTCATGTGAACTCTCTGGGCTTGATTAATCCATATGTAAAAAAGAATGTTCTTCTGATTTTTCTTTTTTACCATCTAGAAACTTAGTGATAAATAGGCCTGAATTATATGCTATAAGAAACAAATCAAACTGACTTGGTTCTTGCCCTTTACTATGTTAAAATGTATTCATCTTCCACTAGAACCAAGTAACGCTAATTAATTACACAGTTGTTGGGTTAGTAGAGCCTTGGTCTGGAAAATTTCTCATCTAAAGTCAGCACAAAAGTGTAAGATAGTCTTTTAGATCTAATGAGATATGAACATCTGTACAAACTCTGTTTAGATAATTATATACCCACAGAGAACTAAAGATTTCATTTTATTAAAGAATTATTCATGATATTATGAGATGTTATAATTAATAACTTAATATTTTGTATCTTAATCTAGGTGAAGAAAACTGGTCTTGTAGTGGTGAAAAACATGAAAATTGTTGGTCTCCATTGTTCTAGTGAAGATTTACATGCTGGGCAAATTGCTCTAATTAAACATGGGTCAAGGCTGAAAAACTGTGATCTTTATTTTTCCAGAAAACCATGTTCTGCGTGTTTGAAAATGATTGTAAATGGTAAGTACAGATAAGGCTTTGTTGGGGATTAAAAGCTTTTATCTAAGAGCAAACAGAGGAACACAGAGATAATTTGGAAATATAAACACATGTGTGAAGACAAATTTGACACTCTGTAAGAGGAAGAGTTAGAAAACATGGTCTCAGATTTTGGTCTCAGCTCTGCCCATTAATCAGGTAAGTACCCTCAGTGAATTAGCATACTAAAGCTAGCTACTATCTCAAAGAAATCCCAGAATTTCAGTGGTTTAATATAGTAGGTATCACCCCTGTAATAGTCTAATGTAGGTGCTGCTAAGCAGCAGGCAGCTTTTCTTCATGTGATTGAGTCACGAACCCAAGCATATTCTATCTTACTGGTATTGTCATCCCTGCACCCTTGCTTGAGTCCTCTGCATTCAGAGGCAGCCTGAGAAAGAAAGAGGAGAGAAGGCACACCTTCTTAAAACCTTGGCCTGGGGATGCTAGGAATATAGCTTAAGTGATAGAGCACTTGTGTGGCATATTTGAGGCTGTGGGTTAATCCCCAATGCCACAGAAGAAAGAAACAAACAAAATCCAGCCTGAAAGTTGCTTACATCATTTCTGTTCATTTCCATTGTGAAAACTGTAGACCCTGATTGGACATTCATTCCCCCAGTGACAACTCCATTATTCCGAAAGGAACACAATTTTTTATTGTGTAGCCATCCACTCTACTCACATAGTACTCAGTATGTTTCTCTGTGCTTTTGATTCTGTTTTGCAACCAGGTGCATGTGCAGACCATTCTATCACTCCAAAATATGTATCTTGTACATGAGCACTATGATGGCTTAAGAAAAAAAAAAAGACAAAAAGCTCATGTGGTTCCTAGCCCATGTTACTTGGGAACAAGAACAACTTAATGTAACACACCATTTAGTACCAAATAAGTGAGGCATACTGTGAGTAATACATGATCTCCCAGAAAGAACAGTGATCCTGCAGGTTGTCATGTTACAAAAAAAATGGGGCTTAAGTTGGATCTTAAAGTTTCTGGTAAATAGAGGAGGAGATATTTCTTGTCAGGGAGCAACAGTGCACCTAGAATCATCCAGTTGTAAGGAGTGAGGTTTAGTGTTTGAAATGGAAGATTATTCTTAGAGTAAAAGCAGATGGATTATAATGATAAATTGAGGCTGTAGTAGAGAATTCAAAAGCTGTATAGCCTTTGGGCTTTATCTTATGAAACTGAGTTCCTAGACCTGTTTTTCAGAAGAGCTATTTTTTATTTACATCCAAGTCTTATAAATACTGATCATATTTGTATTGAGGTTTATGAGTTGAACTACATGTAAAGCTTCAGGAGAGAGCCAGGCAGTAGAAGCTTCCCGGCCTACAACAAGCATTTCAAGCAGACAGGTATCTATGACAGTGACTCAATTCTGTAGTTCCTAATAGATAAAATAGGTATCATAGAGGCATCAGCCTTTTTTTCCTTTTCCCAGTTAATCAGGCAGATTGGGCAGCCACACTTGTGTTTGGTGGACTTCCAAGTCCTATCATAGGTAATGTAGAGCCACTGAAGATTTTTGAGCAGGATGTAAGATGATTGATAGGGTTTTTTTCTTTTTTTGGTACTGGAGATCAAACTCAGGACCTTGCACTTGCAAGGCAGGCAGCAGCACCACTGAGCTAAATCCCCGGCGATTGATAATTTCTGTTGTTGTTGTTACTGAATTGGCACAGGGAGAACTTAGAAATTGAGAGCTTAATTAGTAGACTATTGCATTAGGGTATAAAATAGGATTCAGATGGAAGTATTAATATAGAAAGGAAAGAATGTGAAAGAACCAAAACATTTGTTGATCTGTTCTAGTCACAGAAGAAAAATGATTAAGAAATGGTTGTATTTTACCCTAAGCTGCCCATGCTGAAAGTATCTTAATCACCTTTGAGCTAAAAATTAGAAGAGTAGGGAGTTCAGGTCACACTGCTTCTTGGTATCTGTAAGGCATTTCAATCTAGCAAGAGAGAAAATGAAGTCTGGAAAATCAGGAAGGACCTAAACTGGAAATACATTTATGTTGGTGTTAGACCTGTACATAAATGAAATTGCCCCGTTAGTTTAGGCCTACATATTATTTAGTTATGTTGGGAAGGGGCATGATTGAACCCATGCTGTAGCTGAATCACTTGAGTTACAATCACTATTACCTCAATGAAACCAAACATTTCCTAGCACAGTGGTTCTCAAAGTGTGTCCTGATGGCCCATGAGGTGAACACTGTTTTCTAAATAATACTACAGTCACAATAACAGTAACAAAACAATGGTGAGTAAACCACCAGTGCTGTAACACGAAGCAAAGCAGTGGTACCAAACCACTAGTAGTCACTGCTCTAAATGCACTCAGAGTGAAAAACAAAACAAAACAACAAAACAGTTTCATGTAAAAATGTACTTGATAAAATAGTAAATTCTAACCCTTCAGTACACTTTTTTTTTTGAGACAAGGTTTTACTATGAAATTCAGGCTGGCCTTGAACTCACTATGTAGCCCAGGCTGGCCTTGAACTTGAAGCAATCCACCTGCTTCAGTGTCCCAAGTACTAGGATTACAGGCATGTGTCACCATGCCCAGCTTCACATTTGTTTTAATATTCTGTGTCAAAAAGGAGGAGGTGGTTATACAGCACTTTTATTACAAACCTAAGTAGGAAGATTGTCTTAAGGAAAAACACGCGATTATGTTGCAGACTGAACTGATCTATTTTTTCAAGGAACAACATGAAATAACAAACTATGGCAATTTAGATTTAGATAGTTGGTAGGCATTGCCTCAAAAATGAAGTGGATCTGTCACTTTAGGAAAATAATTGGCAGTATTTGTTATTAGTGATAAAAATGGAGCTTTCAGAGTAAAAATTAGAATATTTGAAAGCCATTATAAGCTTGACAGGTTCCCAATATTTATATTCTTTTGATGAGATTGGTGGTGATATTAATGATTTTTTTTATACTGTAAAATTAGTACGTCATTGTTTTCCAGATGACTAATACATGATGCTACAAAATTGTGCTTGAGTAAAAGAGCCATTCTAAGTGTAAGACAGACCAGGGGACTTAAGCATTACAATACAAAAAGTTTGTTGATAGGGTTTCAGATCCCATACTGTACCTAGCCTGTAAGAAACTATCCCTTGTCAAATATTTACACAGTATCAGAGAATATTTACAATTATCTGAAATGGCTCTTTATATACTTTTTAAACTACATGTTTGTATGAGTCAGTATACTTTTCATATATATCAATGAAAACACCTATTGCAATAGATAGAAAGCAGAAGCAAATTTGAGAATTCAGCTGTTTTCTATTAAGCCAAATATTAAAGATATCTGTAAAAGTGTAAAACAAAGCCATTCTTCTGTCATTATTTTCTAAGTAATTTCTTTTCATAAAGCTGTTATTTATGTTAATGTATAATTGGCTCTTTATTGGTATTTCAAATGGATTAATAAATACTTTAAAATTTTGCTTTACTTTTCTACTACATAAATATAGTCCACATGAAAGAAAGCTATTTGGTTCCCTCAATAAATTTTAAAAGTATAGGGCTTGAAGGTAGCTCAGTGATAGAGCACTTGCCTAGCCTGACCTGAGTTCCATCCCCAGCACTGCAAAAGCAAAAACAAAACAGTGTCTTTGGAAAAAAAAATTTTTTTAAGAATATAAAGGAATCCTAATATCAAAAAATCTTGGGGGCCAGGGATCAGTGGTGCTGCCACCTGTCTTGCAAGCACAAGGTCCCAAGTTCGATTCCCGGTACTAAAAAAAAAATCTTGGAACCTCGCTGTAGCCTTTCCCTTCTTTTTTGAATCAGGATTACTGGGAACAACTAAGATGCTTAGATAAAAGGTTTACCATCACTGCTGGTTAGGAAATAAAGAACTCTTAAGAGAGGGAAGATGAAATGCAGCCCGGGGAAACACTCTGACCTGAGCTTTGAGGCCTTCAAAGCTGCTTTGCAGTCCAAAACACAGTGATTCAGGTGTAGCAGGGAGTAGATGGAAATATGTTTAACTTAGAAGTTTTAGCTCATATATTACTTAGAAGAGTGTACCACCCTGTGGATTGTCTATTTGTTTCAGAGCATAATCATAAAATTGAAGTTGACATTACAAGAGATACTAACAAAAAGATATCTGTTGTAAACTATTCATTGAGAAACTCCTGGGTGTTTATGTATAAGGCATCTTTATTGTTGAACCTCAAATACTAATTATTTTTTCATGTTTGTTTTCCAGTTATATTTCTCTTTTGAATTGTCTGTTCATATCTTTTTCTCTCCCTTAAGACATTACTGTTCAATTCCTATGTATTCTCAAGGAATTAAAATCTTTTCTGTATATTAAAGATTACCAACTTTTCCTCTGTCACATTGATTGAAAAATGTTTCTTTAGTTTGTTTTGTTTTCAATCCTGTAAGCTTTTTAAAAATAATATTTAGCCAGGCATGGTGACACACACCTATAATCGTAGCACTTGGGAGGCTAAGGCAGAAAATTGCACATTTGAGCCCAAACTGAGCAACTTAGTGAGACTTTGTCTCAAAATAAAAATAAAGGACTGGGGATGTAGCTTAGCACAAAGGTCCTGGGTTCAATCTCCACTACTACCAAAAATAATATTGTCCTATCACCATTACTCCAACCTCACATAACAATTTGTCCATTTTACAGTTTCTTTGTAGACAATTTTGGTGAAAAGTAAAATAATTTGTTTAATCATTCCCCTGTGTTAGTCATCTAGCTTTTTGAAAAAAAATATTTTAAAGAATTCTGACTAGTGACTTAACAAGAACTTGTCTCAAAATTTAAAAAAAAAAATTTTTTTTTAAAGTCTGGCAATGTAGGTTAGTGAGAAGGCCCCAGGTTCAATCCCCAGTGCCAATAAAATAAAACCCTCAAGAATGTTGACTTCTCTCCCTTTAGAATATTTCTTAGAATGACTTTCTAGAAAAGTTTTGAATCACAGACAGGAACATTTTTAATGCAGAGATGAACTGTTTACTTCAGATACAAGACTCTAGGCAATAGCAAGTGTTGGCTGTAACATTCTAACAGCAGCCATGGTGCTATGGAAGGTACTGGTATGTAGTTTCAGTGCTGGGCTTTGAGACTACACATAGCAAAATCAGTGATTCTACAAATGCTTTCCCATGGGCTCTACCAGAGGTTGGTTAACTTTTTCTTTAAAAGGCCAGATAGTAAACATTTTAGATTTTGCAGACCATATAGTGGCTGTGGCAGCTATTCAAATCTGCCATGCAAAGGTAGCTAAAGACTGTGTAATTGAATGGGTGTGTCCTCATAAAACTATTTATGGACACTGAAGTTTGAATTTTTCATAATTTCATGTGTAATGAAATATTCTTTTGATTTTCCCAATTATTAAAAATGTAGAGTTGGGGATGTACCTTGGTGATAGAGCACTTGCTGCACATGCATGAAGCCCTTTGTTCAATCCCCAGCACCACCAAAAGAAAAAGAAAAAAGTCCATTTTTAACCCATGAGCTGTATAAAACCTGGCAATGGATTGGGTTTGGCCAATGGGTAGTTACTTAACAACCATGAGATTGTGTAATAGGTGACTTGATAGTAGACATTTATTATATTGGAGCCTCTTAATTTACTGCAGCAATGGGATGGATTTATCAAGAAAGCTAAATTTGGCATGTATCAGATAATTACCTTTCATATTTTGTATTTCAGCTGGAGTTAACCGAATTTCATATTGGCCTGCTGATCCAGAAATAAGCTTGCTTACTGAGGCTTCTACTTCTGAAGATGCAAAATTAGATGCCAAAGCAGTGGAAAGATTGAAGTCAAACAGCCGAGCCCATGTGTGTGTGTTACTCCAGCCTTTGGTGTGTTATATGGTGCAGTTTGTAGAGGAGACTTCTTACAAATGTGACTTTATTCAAAAAATTACAAAAACAGTGCCAGATGCTAACATTGACTTTTATTCTGAATGTAAACAAGAAAGAATAAAAGAATATGAAATGGTCTTTTTGGTTTCAAATGAAGAAAAGCATAAGCAAATACTGATGACTATAGGTCTGGAGAACCTGTGTGAAAATCCATACTTTAGCAATTTAAGGGAAAACATGAAAGACCTTATCCTACTTTTGGCCACAGTAGCTTCCAGTGTCCCCAGCTTTAAACACTTCGGATTCTACTGTAGCAATCCAGAACAGACTAATGAAAGTCACAATCAAAGTTTGCCACAAGAAATTGCAAGGCACTGCATGATTCAGGCCAGGTTATTGGCATATCGAACTGGTGAGTTAAATGCTTAGTTCATAAATTGAGACTGATTGGTTCAGTTGTATTTGTCTCAGTAGTAAACTGGTGTTTTGTCTTATCTATGGTAGAGTTCATTTAAAGTTTTGCTGCTCATACAATGTAGAGAAATTAGTAAGATTCTGTGTAGGAAACTTTGAGCAGTTTTGGGATTCCTAGTGGTCTTATATTCAGCACTGAATTTATAATTCAGAGCCAGATTATCTAAGCCCTACTTTCTGCTTCTTGCACTTTGGACTTCACTGGTCATTGAGTCCTCCACTAAAGATGGGATAAAAAGAAAAGTGCAAACTAAAGTCATTTATTTTTTATTCATTCTTTAATATTTTGTATGTCTTTAATAAAAACTTTTGGAAATCTATAAAATTAAAAATACAAATTCAAAATAACTAAAGAATATCAAAGTAAATGCATGCTGAGTATTGTAGATTCTTCCAATTGCTGGTATGTCTCAATCAGCAAGCTGAGAAATTAAATATTTTTATTTATTGTATTAAGTTGTACATGTGGAAAAGGAGAATATTACTTGGGACTATTCTTTATTGTTTAAAAATATTGCATCTGTATTTCTCATTATGGAACAATATTTTCACATCTTACCAGGTGTAATTTTTTTGAAAGTAGAATCATAATCACTTTTTAACATTTAACCTTGAAATAAGTAGGAAAAATACAGACAGGACAGAAGTAGAGTAAGATCATTATCCCAAAAAAGAAGGAGATGGAAAATCAGAAAATCTCTATGAAGGTACCACCGGTCTATAGTGTATTCTTTACAAACAAACAACAACAAACCCCTCAAAGTAAAGTCAGTAGAATGTAAGATCTCAACTGACAGCATATAAGAATCACCATGGAAACTTTAATAAAAAGATGCTCAGGGGCTGGGAATTTAGCTCAGTGGAGCCACTGCCTGCCTCGCAAACACAAGGTCTAGTTCAATCCCTGATACCAAAAAAGAAAAAGATGCTCAGTCCTCCACCCAGAGCTATTTAACTGTGGCCTAGGCCTAAGATGTTTAAGTCCTGCAAAGTATTATGACATTCAACAGTGTTAATAATCACTCAATTCTATAAAGAGTGTATAAGTATGAACTATATGACCCCAAACAATTGTATATGAGCCTGATTTAATGAAAAAAATATTTTTACAGCACTATGGAGTGGACCAAGGGCTTTCACAATGAGCTACATTACCAACCCTCACTCCCCTTTTTAAAAAAATTTTGAGACAGGGTCTTGATAAGTCACTAACTTGCCCAGGCTGGGCTAGAACTTGTAATCCTGCCTCTGCCTCCCAGAGTGCTGGGATTACAGGTTTGTGCCACCATGTCCTGTGTAAATTTTCTTGTATCGTGGGTTGTACATTATTCTCTTTGCCAATATCAGCTTTGTAAAGAAATTTTCTGTAAACCATTCTGGAGAAAACCACAAAAAGGTTTTCTCTTTGGTAATCAGAATTCAGCAGAGTTCTGCCTATGTTCCAGAGTAAGATGGGAGATGTGCATTTGCTGTTTTACTTGATCTCAGTAACTTGATTCTCACAGACCATCTCATCTTTCCATCTGTGATTCCAGTGTTCAGTTTGCAGTATGTGTAGATATAAATATGCATATGTATATCTTACTAGATATACTACTATATATATTTTGAATTATAAGTTTGTCTACTATTACTGTTCAGAGTTTTGTACATAAAGCTATGCTTATGCACTTGATGGGCAATTTAAGAGATTTTTCAAGCGTTGTTTTTTTACAATGGGTGATATTTTTTGCCTGGGATTCAAATCCTGCATAGGATACAACTCAACTATTTGCACTCCACTCCACTCTGAGCTCTTTGAGGGAAGAAATCATCTCCTAATCATCATTTTTTTCCTTAGCACTAATCAGTGTGTGTTGAATGGATATCTATACCAAAAGACAAATGGTCCACAATTCTTATTCCAAAACCCATGAGGCCAAATGAAAAGAAATTCAGAATTTTTCAGACTTTAAGAAGGTAATATGATGCATATACTGGTTATATAGTATTCCTAGTGAGATTTAGGAGAATACCTGTAGTCAAACAAATTAATACATGTGGAGTAAAATTTGTGAATATTTGTACTAAGCAGAGTACTTAAAAATACATTTTTTCCTCATTTTTGGTGGTGCTGGGGATCAAACCCAGGCCTTACACATTAGGCAAGTGCTCTACCAATGAGCTAAATTCCAAGCACCCCACAGTTCACTGTGTGAACTTGGGTCTATTTTGGATTTCCAGTCTTTTCCTATGGTCTTCTCTATTTTTACATAAAGCCAATGCTATTATAATTAGAGAGAGAGATGTTACTAAAGCTTTAATATGCCAAAAAAGGGATGCTATGAGTAGCAATTTGGTTCAGGATTGGATGTAAATCACTGCATCAGACTATTAAAAAAAGTTGATACAAAGGATTCCAAATAAGGGACTTGGTGTCTATAATTCTTCATTGATAATAATAATGATAATTTATTGAGCACTATTGTGTCAGACGCTAAGCTAGGTGATTTCTATACATATCTTGTTTAACATTGGAGACCAGCCAGCCCCGTGGATATCCTATGATATAAAGTATTTCCAATTACTCAAGTTTTTAATTTCACACTACAGTGGTATCTTGGTACACCCCATTAATTGGTTTCTGGAGACAAACTACAAGTACCAAACAGATTTCTTTTGGCTGAAATAGGCAGCCAGTCAAGAGAGAATCAACACCGACAAGCTCTAGCTTGAGCATCTACTACCAAACAAAGGACAAATACTGGGACAAAAGTGTCACATCAAAATGCAATGAGTATCAGATTTGTCCAGCTTTCAAAACACTTGTGTACCAAGGTATGATTGTATTCAGTTTGATTTGATAACTGTATTTTTCCATTATTATTATTATTATTTTATTATTTTGTACCAGGGATTGAACTCGGGATCTTGTGCTTGCGAGGCAGGCGGCAGGACCACTGAGCTAAATCCTTGGCCCTATTTTTCCCTTATTAATAGATGAAGATATCATTTCATGAAACCATTACATTTAAAATATGTTATTAAAATGAATTCTAAAACCTCTAGCAACAGAGTTCCAAAACAAATTTTTTGAATGATAAATAAAGAGGATCCACAGAGATATTGTTAAAAATATGTTTCTAGAATAATTAAAGGTAGCAACAAAGTGACAAATATGTTTAGATGCTTAGGGGGAGAAGATTAGCGGGCATCCCATCATGTCTACCTGACTTAAGTGTTGTTTTGATCTCTTTTTGCATCCTGTTTTCCCATTAGATGAGGCGCTTTCCAAAGTTAAAATAGTATACCTTCCTCCTGGACTGCAGAGTTGGTGATGAAAGTAGGATGAAGCAGCCAATGTTAATTGTTTGAAAGCATAACTCACTGGTTTTTAGTGTGATTAAGATTCAGGGGTGAGCTCTGAGAAATGCAGATTCCTGAGCCTTTCTCAGGTTGATTTAGGGGTCCCCGTGGGAACCAGTAGTATGGCTTTTTAAACAAGCATCCAGCAGTTTGGATTCAGGTGGTCTGTGGAACATGTGGTCACTGTTGTGACAGAGGATGGGGGGCTAAAATAGACATCCCTGTGTTCCAGAACCATGGGCTAACGAGACCTCTGACTTCCAGTGATCAAAGAACCCAGGAATTGGCCCAGAAGTGGTCATTTCTGACCACTTTTCCTTCACAGTTGTACAGAGAAAACCCAATGAATAACCAGATCATGGGGAGCTGTTTTTGTAAGAATTAACAGATGTAAAAAGATTTTTGAAAAATAACATGTCACTAGACTTGGGGCTAAGGTGAAATTGGCTCTTTTATATGGATAAAAAGTTATCCTTGTTTGAAAGGAGAGGTAGTAATGAATATTCCCTTGGTGTAGCTAACCTTTGCTAGGCAGTAGAGATGTCTGCTGATGCAAAAACACATCTGACAAGGTTTAGCCTGTCCCCAGAAAAACAGAAAAAGTGGTTCCTGAGACTAAAAACATAATACAAAAAAATTTAGGATTGTTGTAGGAAAAGTAGATTCAATATGAACGATTTATATTTTAGTTTTTCATCTTTTTCCTTTCTGATTTATACACATATTGAGTACAACTTTACTAAACTTTTGGTTTTGTGGGCAAATACAATTTAATGTTTATAATTTCTACCACTTGCCTTGGAAATTGAGCATAAAGCCATTGATTTATATCTTTTCCCTGCGTGTCCAATTCTAAAGGTGTAGGAAGAAACAAAATCTTGTTTACACCAAAATCTCTTTCCCTCCACACTACAGAAGCCAGTTGTCCTGTATAATCTGTCCCTCAGGATCATGTTCAACTTCAGAACACAGCACACATGTAATGTTTCCTCATCACTGTTCTCCCACCCCATCCAGCTGTAAGTTACGTGAGGGTGGGACCAATGTTTCCCTCACCATTGAACATTCAGCTTCTCATAATCTTGGCACACTGGGGCACTTAGTGAATGCAAATCTTTATTATGGAATTCTTAATGTCAAAGCAAGAGGTGGAAGAAAGCCTGGGGGGCTAAATCTTAGTCTCTTAATTTCTCTGTGTTTTCTTATCTAGAAATGAAAATTTTAGCTGCTTTATCTTTGGGTAAAAAAATTTATACAAATGCTTTGTAGTATGTATTGAAATCCTGAGCATGCTTGAACTGAAGATGGAAAACTTCCTTGCATTATCGTAACTTTTTAAAAATGAACTTATTGATAGGTTAATTCTAGTTTTTAATACAATAGTAGCACAAACTTTCTTTGTACTTTTACTGGAAAAGTTGGTATTTACATATCATTTGGGGGCCAGGATTTAGCTCAGTGGTGCCGCGCCTGCCTTGCAAGCGCAAGCTCCTGAGTTCGATCCCCACTACCAAAAAAAAAGAAATACATATGTTATATGTTATCCTTTGAAGGATTTACTTTTAGGAAATTGTAGAGGTAAACAGCAATTTCACTTAATCCTCACCAGTATGAAAATGCCCTAGGGTAAATTCACAGATGACTTTTATTTTCTTTATGTAAATATACCTACTTAACCACATTAGTTCCTTATAATTTTCATATACTGAGGTTTTCATAATTAGTGTATATTTGCCTTTGAAATTTGAAACTCAGGAAAAGTAGATACTTAATATGTAGAATTTTTATTTTGTTTTGTTTTTTTAAAAATTTCTGTTTCAGATTGTTTCTAGAAGTATAGTTTTACTTGTTGCAAATGTTTTGGCTCTGCGGGGGAACTATAATCTTATGTCTAGAACTACTGCCACTTGACTTAGAAGTAAGCATGCTATGAGACTGACTTGGTGTCTTTTCCCCCTCACAGTAAATTATGAAGGTCATAGGGCAGCATTTTGTTTAGGTCAAAATTCCCTGCATGTACCATTCAGCAATAGATATGAAAGTTCATAACACTTAATGTTTGTATTAGAAGTTTGAACTTATTTCTTAGCAAGAACATTTCCATAAAATGTATTTTACATGGTTAGAGTGTAAGAAATGAGAGACATATTTGATTGTTGTGAATGGTTATTGCACTAAATCCATTCGTTCAGAAACTTTTAAAAAAAATTCAATTTCATCAACTACTAGAAATAGTCATTTAAAATAAAATAAAATTTATTTTCAACAAAGAAATAGGCGTAGTGGCACACACCTGTAATCCTAGTCTTGGGAGGCTGAGGCAGGAGGGTTGTTGCAAGTTTAAGGACTACATGGTAAGACCCTGTCTCAAGAAACAAAAAAACAAAAACAGAAATAGTCATTTAGCAACTGATATGCTAGTGGAGAGTCAGTGAGGTTGTACTTAGTTCTGGCTACTGCTTTGAATTGATCTGACTGTAGCTCCTGCCATGTTACTGGTCTTTGCATGTACATTATGAGTGACAGGGTGGGCAGTGACCTTGTCTACTTATTTGGTACCTAGTTCCCATATCCCATACTTAGAAGTACTTAACACTTTCATACAATGGGTGAAGATATCAAGAATTGCTATTTATGTTCCAAAAATACGTTTTCTCTACTTTTGGAAAAAATAATTCTGAAACTAACAAACAGATCATTGATTGTTACTGACTTCAGTATCTTATTTTGCAGAGGATCATAAAACAGGAGTTGGAGCAGTCATTTGGGCAGAAGAGAAATCTGTAAGTATGAAAATAATTCTTTACCAAGAGAGTATATAAAGCTGTATATCTCCAATGATGAATGTCATTATATTGTACACCTAAAATGTACCAATAAAAGGATATACAAAAAAAATCTTTAAATATTTAACCTGGATTTTTGTTTAAATATTGTTCATACTTCAGTGAATTGCATTTTTGTTTTCTTTTATTTTTTTGAGATGAAGTCTTGTTGTGTTGCCCAGGCTGGGGGACAGATAAGTAGGGTCAAGAGGTATTTTGAAGGTGGTATCCACAACACTAGACGGTTGCTGTACCCTATACCAGGCCTGGCAGTAGATTGCAATTTTTGAACTGTTGAGATTAATGTTTTTGTATTAGTGCATTTATTAAGTTCATAGATATTTGCTCATTCCCTCAACAGTTTTTTAAATAGATTCATCCATTTAGCAAACATTTATTAAATACCTATCGGTTAGGGACTGTGCCACAGTGAGCATTAGAAATTTAAAGATTACATATTCTGCCTTTTGTGGCCTCATATCTTATGATAGAGAAATAAAAAAGAGACTTCTCTATAAGTGAAATTGTAATTGGCACTGTGAGAAGGTAGAGGACCCCTACTCTCCTTGAAGAAATGAGTGACATGTTCTAGGAGGTTGTAGAGGGCTATTAATCTTGAAGAATGAGTAGGAATTCAGAGCAAGCTAGGAAAATTAGGAGGATAACATCCAAAGGTAGAAGGTGAGAGAGAGAATATGGGAAATGACAGTGATGTGGCATATTGGGGTCCAGAGTCCTGTGTCAAGTAGAGTGGTCAAAAATTGTACTGGGAGCCAGGGGTTTAGCTCAGTGGTGCTGTGCCTGGCAAGCAAAAGGTCCTGAGTTTGATTGCCGGTACTGGAAAAAAAATTATACTGGACCATGAGGGTCATTGTAGACCATGTGAAAAGCATACACTTTATCCTTTGGCAGTACACAGCAGTACCCTGGCACACCACTAACCAGTAGAAATTAAAGACAAGCTACACTTATGACTAAATTTTCTAGGAGCCCTACTGAAAAAATAGGTGAAGTAATATATAGCTGACTGAAATATGAACCTAAATTTTGTTTCAGTGGACTATAGAGCAAGTAATTTGACTATTTGTTTCAGTGTTTTGTAAGTTCTTCAAATTCAACCTAAGTAATAAATCAGGTAACCTTTTCTGCTAACCTGCTCCTTCACAGTGGTCACTATTTTACTCTCTGATACTGCAGGACATAGTGATTATCTAGTGCTGTGGATACCATCTTCAAAATACCTCTTGACTCTACTTATCCGTTCCCCAACTGTCATCTCCTATTAGAATAGGTTCCTCTGGCAGAAATTCCCGTAGCATTCTGTACCCATCATCTGTGACACTTATAGTTAAAGTCATGTCCAGTCTCCAGACTCTTAACTGCTCCTCATAAAAGGTACATGGGGCCAGGGGTTCTGGTTTACAGCTATTGCTAGCACCTCGCATGGGTCTGGCCTCTGACTGGAATTCTCATTTGTGCTTATGTGAATGCTTAGCAGCCTTTTGGCTTAGAATCTGGTTCTCCACTTTGTGAAGAATTCAGTAACAGTTACACCAGGTAAGTATGGTAGTGCACACCTGTAATCCCAGCACTTGGGAAGCTAAGACAGGAAGGACTACGTAGTGAATTCAAAACCAGTCTGATCTATAAAGTGAGACCTTGTCTAAATAAAGCAAAGCAAAACAACAGCAAAAAATAAAAAAAGAACAGTGTAGGGAGGTGGCATGGTAAAGCAGAAAGACTTATGGGCTTGGAAGCAAGCAACCTAGGCTTGAACCCTGGCTATGTTACTTACTAGCTCTGTGATCTTGATCAAGTTAATCTCTCTTGGCCTCAGTTTCCTTATCTATAAAATGGGGATAATAATAGTACTACTCTCTAAGTTGTTTCAAGGATTGAGTAAATGAAATAATGCATATGAAACTTAGTATGATATTTGACATTTGGTAAATGCTAAAGAAAAGTTTATTAATGGAATACTATTTTATTTGCAACTTTTGTTGGCAAATTACACAATTTTTTATTTAACACTAACTTTCTACAGTAATGAGTGTGTGGATAATATCACTTGAGTAATTCAATAGATTGAAATTTAATAAGGTTTATAGCATATTCCAAACCATTATAAATACTTTATTATTTATAAAATGTTATCCTACTAATGGATAAAGCATTCATATTAGTGATATGTCATTAATCAAGAGAAATAACAAAAAGCCACTGAAATAAAAGTTTTATATATAGATATATGACTCAATAAATATTGAGTAAGGGAAAGTGTGTTTTTATTTTCCAAATGAATCACAATATCACCTTTTTAGCCCAACAACAGAATATTTTTTAAATTTCTGACTTGTTAACCAGTAGCACAGCACTGAGTATAAGAAATTAACAGCCACTTACTAAGAACCTGTTATGCAAACCAATCTGGCACATGTCTAAAGGGATAGAAAATATAAAATGTGGTTTCTATGCTTCAGAATTTTATATTCTATTTGAAGAGTAATTAAGTAAATCAATTTGTGATGTAAGCAAGATAGTAACTTGATTAACTGCTAAAACTAAAGACAGACTGGAAATTACAGACTAGAGAGTTGATTAGCTTTCTTGGAAATAAGCTATGACAAGGCCACACTACAGTAGGAAGATCTGATACTGTATTTTTCGATGGCTCAGTTTGTCATAGGAATGGAATGAATATTCATCATACAAAGTATGACAGCAAGCTTTAAAAATACATTGCACCTTTGAGTCAGGGATTTAGCTCAGTGGTGCTGCCACCTGCCTTACAAGCTCAAGGTCCCAAGTTTGATCCCCAGTACCAAAAAAAAAAAAACATTGTACCCAGGCATGCACCTATAATCCCAGCTACTTGGGAGGCAGAGGCAGGAGGATCACAAGTTTGAGATGAGCCTAAATTTGAGATGAAACAATTTAGTGACACCCTGTTTCAATGTTAAAAGAAAAAGCAGAGAGGAGGGTAGGCATGTAACTCAGTGGTACAGTACTTGCCTAGCATATGCAAGTCACCCTGTTCAATCCGCAGCATGATCCCCCCCCAAAATTGCAAAATGCCTTTTCAGAATGTTGACACTAACCACAGTTGATCTGCTCACTTTTTTAGAGAAGTTGTGATGGAACTGGTGCTATGTACTTCATAGGCTGCGGTTACAATGCCTTCCCTGTCGGATCTGAATATGCTGACTTCCCTCATATGGACGACAAGCAGAAAGACAGAGAAATAAGGAAGTTCAGATACATTGTACATGCGGAACAGAATGCCTTGACATTTAGGTATGGTTTTTGCATATATTTTCTTTAAAATGTAATAAAAGTTAGTTGAAACTAATTTTCTTTTAGTTGTAATTTATTTCCTTTTTTCAAATTCTAAGAAATATTGTTTTCAGAAATATAATTTTGGCAAAATTTGGTCCTGCATGAGATCTGAGGCCATTGTCATAGATTCTCCAGGCCTTTCAATACATTGAGAAAGTCTTTTTATTTTTCTCCCCTCTCTCTCCAATATGAAACTATTGAAAGGTTGTCTTAGGATCTTGCTCACTCTTTCATACATCTGAAGGTTAATACTGCCTTCTTTTTCTAAATCTAGAGCACATATATTTATTAATATTAGGCTTTATTATCAATCAAGTTGCTTTAAAAGAGCTTTTGTTAGAGGTTATAACTAGTATTACCTCCTTCTAACGTTAATTTAGGACTCTAGTACAAAGACTTCTCAGCATGTACCATTCAAGGGGTGAGGTTAGGGGATTAAGAAAACAAATAAGACATGGCTTCTGTCTTTGGGGACCGTCTGATTTAAAAGGGACATAGACTACCTCCGCCTAACATGTGGATTCTGAGGGAAAGGCAAGCACCACATGCTAAGAACCTTCAGAGCTGCCTTGGCCAAGAGGGGACAATGCAAGGGAAAGGCTATTTGGAGAACTGGCATTTGTGCTGAACTTTAAAAGATTGCTGACAATGTGGCAACTGGAGATGTTCCTTCAAGAGAAAGCCATTCTTGCTTCTAACATAAGCCATTTTCCACTTTCCAGAAGTAGGAAAATGCAGTGTGTGTTGAGAGCATGCATTTCCCAGTTAGCTGGAATGTGGGCACATGGTAAATGCAGCTCACTGGATAGGCTGGGATTGTACAGTAGAAGACTTTGATGTAGACACCACATGGTTGGCAGTGGGGAAACAAAATTAGTCTGACAAAGTCATGCTCATAGACTGCTTAGGTAGCAGGTATATTGTTTGAACAGGGTGGATATGTAAAATTCTGGTGCCCTAGTCCAAATGGACAGAATGAGATTTCAACTAGAGAAATGGATATGGAAGGCAGAGAACTGAAGACCTCTGGTTCAGAGCAGTACATCCTCAAATGAGCATACTGTAGTCCTAAACCACTGCCCACATGCAAAATTTTACTAAAAATCTCTGTTATTCTTGTCTTCGTCCGTGCAAGTTAACTTGCTTCATTTTGTACAGAAGTATGAGTATGTCACATATAAACATGTTACATAAAATTATTCTATAATAGGGAAGGATAAGTATAAATCAAAACAGATTTATTATTAATTTACTAATTTAATAATCATTAAATGTCCTGTAGGTACCAATTAGGGCTATGTCTTTTGGCTGCAATGATGATTTCATGTCTAATGAGACATGGTTAGCTCCCAAGAAGTTTTAACCCCAATTTTTCAGTATTATAAAGTATTGCTCCCCCACTAGTTATTGAGTCAAGCAAGCAGTCTACCACAGAGCTACATCCCCAGGCCCTTTTAAACATTTTTAAAATTTTGAAACATAGTCCTACTAAATTGTCCATGCTGTCCTTAAATTTGTGATCTTCCTGCCTCAGCCTCCCAGGTAGCTGGGATTATAGGCATGCAAAGCCATGCCAGGCTCGTCTGTCCTCTCCTCTCCTCTCCTTTCCTCCTCTCTCCTCTATCCCCTTTTTTGCTTCCTCTGCTCTCTGCCTCCTTCTGTTGTCTGTCTCTTTGTTGGTATTTACTTTGTAATCTGATACTGAACATAACTGCCAATGCCTTTGAATCAATGTATGCATTTTAGTTATAATAATTGTCAGATTTTTATTTTGAAATTCACTAATTCGTCAAGAATAAGGCCTGATTATTGTTTATAATGTTGTAAAATGTTTTTTCAGAGTTTAATTTTAACGTTTAAAAATTACTCTGAAAAATAACTTACCCTTTCAGCAACTAACTTTGTAATATTTTATAAATTTTTATAGGTGTCAAGAAATAAAGCCAGAAGAAAGAAGCATGATTTTTGTGACCAAGTGCCCATGTGATGAATGTGTACCCTTAATTAAAGGTGCAGGCATAAAACAAATCTATGCAGGGGATGTAGATGTTGGAAGAAAGAAAGCAGACATCTCTTACATGAGGTTTGCTGAACTTGAAGGTGTTAGCAAATTTACAGTAAGTAGATGCATGTTTTTCTAAGTGTACTTCCTATTATGTTTAGTGCTCTGCTACATACTGTAAATTACTGATTTCCACCCTTTTAAAGAGTATCAACAAACTATTATCATTGAATTTATTTGTATTTGCAAACATTTACCTAACTAAATGTTCAGCTAAGGACCTTTGCCATACGAATTTTAGATCTCTGTGGAGCTGAGCATTGACTTTGGTATCTTGAGCCATTGGGCCGTTTGGTGCCATCTGGTGGCTGATAAAAGTAAAGCTCTGATCCACCACTTTTCCCTTACTCCATTCAGGTTTAGAGGGCAGATAGAGGCAAAAATAGTTTGAGATCATCCAAAGTACAGGGACACACACACACACACACACACTCACATTCTTCTTATGAGAAAAATTAGCCTAATATAATTCACCTGAAAACTCTTAGAACATGGAAAACTGTATACAACTTTATGCTCAAGCAGCACAAATGGCCTCTAATCCAGTTTTTAATAAAGTCCTTCCTAACTGAATCATCCTGAGCATGGACTTTACTGACTATACTCCTATCAGCATTCTAGTCTTCTGAATTCCAACTAGAGTCACCCATCAGGCTCTGCTTATAGCATTCTAGGGCTTCTTCAAACCTTCTGAATTCCTCCGGCAAACCAGTTCCAAGGCTTCTAAACCACATTGTTGGGTACAGGCACAGCAATGAACCCCATGTCTCTGGTACCAATTTTCTGTATTTCCCATCACTGAGACACAATACCCAACTCTCATAATTTAAAGAAGAGATAATTTGGCTCATGGATTTAGGAGATTCAGTACATGGTCAGCTGGCTCCAAGGCAGAAACATCATGATGGAAGGGTATAACAAAGCTGCTTAATTTTTGGTGGCTAGTAAGCAGAGCAGGGGAGAAGTGCCTGAGAGAAAAGAGGAAGGACTAGACAGCCCTCCATGACCCACCCAGACACACCAGAAGTATGCTCCACTGATATCCTGGGGAGCTCTTAAGTCAATCAAATTGACAGTCCACCTTCTTTTCCTCATTCTTGTGATGAGGAGTAGTTCTTTGGTACTTCATCTTTTCTATCATCTGGCCTGGATTGAAATAATATATACAGTACAGAGTTAGCTAAATGCCTCATTTTATAAATATCAGTAATTAACTTGAATTAGTATTTTTCTATCATAGGAGTGTCAGTAAAATTGATACTTGTTTTTAATATGAAATTAAATTGAAATTAATTTTGTTTGAAAAGTTTTTGCTTTTCTTTTTATTTGTAACTATAAACCTTGAAATAAGTGGTTCTGTGCCATCCTTGAGATAAGTTGTGTTGTTAAAAAGTAGATTAGAATTGGGCAACACTGTTTTAAAGAATAGGTTTTATCAGTGTATATCCATGTCCAATTACTCAAAAATATTTTAATATATTTGAATTTTTCTGTACTAGTGTATATTTTTTGAAATTATGAACATAATATATGCTTATTTAGAAGAATAGTAAAATAAAAAAGAATATGTATTATCCCATAACTCAGATACCACTGTTAACATGTTGCTGTATTTCTGTTAAAATTAACTAAAAAAAAAAATTTTTTTTTTTTTTTTTTTGTACCCGGGATTGAACTCGGGACCTTGGGTTTGCAAGGCAGGCACTGGAACCACTGAGCTAAATCCCTGGTTCAAAAATTATTTTTGATAATTATATAATATCCCAGCCCATAGACTTAACTTACTTAACCAGTCCCCTATTGTTGGATACCTAGATTGTTTCTAAGTTTTTAGTTAAAAAATGACTTTTTATGAATATTCGTTTTTTCAGTTTCTATTGTTTATTAGTACATGTTTAAATTACATAATGATTACATTCCTTGTGGGGAGTACATGTTATGTATATGTACATAGCACATTTCAATTCTTTATTCATTCCCATTCTCTCCCCTCCCTCCATGTTTAAAAAAAAATGTATTAGTACATATTTACATACATAATGATCACATTCATCATAGGGAATCTGTACATGTATAAAATGTCTTAATTCTTTTTTGTTCCCCATTCCTCTCCCCTCCCTTCACTCCTTCTTCCCCTTCCCATATACAAAAGCTTTGTTTCCACTTTTCCTTTCTATTCTTTTTTAAATCCTTTTTCCCTTTCTTCCCTTTCCTCCCTTTTTCTCCCTTTTGCTCCCTTGTTCTTCTTCCCATTTGAACATAAGCTTCCTACTTTCCAGTGTTTATCCACTATTTTGCTCCTTATTTACCCATTGCATTTCTCACACAAGACAAACAATGCAATATGTAAACTTGTGTGCCTGATTTATTTCATATAGCATTATGGTCTCAAGGTACATCCATTTACCTGTAAATGACTCACATTTATCCTTCTTTATGGCAGAGTAGTACTCCATTGTATATAAATACCACATTTTTTTAATCCATTCATGTGTTGATGGGCATATGGACTGTTCCCAAGATTTAGCTATTATAAATTGTGCTGCTATAAACATAGGTATACATGTATCACTGCTGAATGATGCTTTTACCGGTTCAGGGAAAATTCCTAGAAGAGGCATAGCTGGGTCAAATGGAACTTCTAGTTTTAGTTTTTTGAGGAGTCTCCATATTTATTTCCATAGTGATTGTACCAATTTACACTCCTACCTACAATAGAGAAGGGTTCCTTTTTCCCCACTGCCTTGCCAGCATTTGTTATTGGTTGATTTCTGATGAATATTCTTAAATGTGAATTTGGATTCATTTGTTTTTACTTTCTCAGTCCAAATTAATAGAGTTTAGTGGTGCAACCTGTTTGAAAACATACCTCTTTTTAAAAAATTTCTTATATAACTTCCCACCCCTTGTAAGTCCTTTCTTGCTATTAACCCTAGCCATACCATTTCCAAAAGGGGCCAATAATCTAAGGACTTTTCGTGCATGGTAAAATGTTTGTCTTGTATCTCAGCCCAACTCAAGATGTTAACTAGTTAATTTGATGAAATAATTGATGGTTATGGAAGAGAACTCACAAGTTATTAGTACTTACTTACTTGTGCCTTTCTGGAGACAGTGGGCCAGCACAGCCTTTTTTGTCAAGTCATTAGTGATGCTGATGGAGATTCCAGCCAAGTGAGAAAGGAAGGAGGAGCTGTGCTAGGGATACTGAGGACCCCCACCCTACTCCAGTCCTTGTAATATCAGTCATCAGACTCCCATCTCTTTCTGAGTGGTTGACATGGAACATGACAGCATAAGAGATGTATGATGTATGATATAGGAAATGATAAATATAATATAGTCATATGATATAAGTCCATTTTCTATAATTATATTAAATAGCAAGATAATATTGATCATATTTTTATTCTTTAATACCAAGGCCTTCTTTTGCTATTGCAAAGTGATAGAACCTAGAGATAGGCTATAATGTTCTAAATATTCCCATGGTACTGGGCATGGGGAAGCTCAGGTTCTGATTCCATCACTGCCTTCTGTATAACCTAGAACAGATCACAGCAGTTCTCTAAATCTTCCATTTTCTTAACATGAAATAAAAGTCCAGATCATTAAGCTCCCTTCTTTCTCTAAGAGGAGTATTGATTTTGATCCCAGAAGTCATACCATTCAGGATCATTCAGGATGGCATTAAAGGCAGAGTGCTGAAATGCTATTCATGAAATCCTTTAAAAATATATAAATTAAATATTTGTACCCTCTTACAGTGGCAGCGGAATCCATCTGAAGTTTATGGTCTTGACAAAAATGAGCCTGAAAGGAAAGACAGTAAGTATTTACAAGTCCTAATGGAGATCAACTTTGTTGCTGAGGAGAATATATATGCAGTGAATTTTAAAGATCAGATGATAGAAACTGTTGTGTTAGTAAATGGACCATATTCATTACAGGTTAGATTTGTGCTTATTTTTGACTGTTTGTGTACCTACTATATGCAAGGTACTATGAAAAGTGCTAATAATTAGTCCTGTTGAATCTGCAGTTTAATCCAAATAATCATGTACAAATTCACTTTATAAGTAAAACTTATATGGAACAGTAAACAACAATACTCTTCTATACAAAAACAAGATTTCTGAGTATGAGAAAGCATTCTTCTAGAATAAAGCCACATATGGCTAGGTTCATCGGAGAATGGAAATATGGAAATATTTAGGTTATTTTAATAATCTGAGAATAATCACAGCTACCATAATTGCTAGCTTTAAAATTTTTATTATTTGCACATTAACATAACTTTTGAATGTAATGTAATTTCTGGGAGACCTTATAATTCCTTAAGCACATAATTTTGAACATTGGTGCTATACAATACTATTTAAAAATAATAGCTTAGGGCCAGGAATTTGGTTCTGTTGCCTGCCTTGCAAGCTCAAGGACCCAAGTTTGATCCCTGGTACCAAAGAAAAAAAGAAAAAAAATAGCTTAGTCAGGCATGATGCCACACTCCTGTAATCCTCGGACTCTGGGAGGCTGAGGCAGGAGGAATTCAAGTTTAAATCCAGGCTGGGCAACTTAGTGAGACCCTGTCTCAAAATAAAACATAGAAAAATGGCTGGGGTTCTGGCTTGGTGTGAAGGCCCTGAAAAAAAAAAGTAGCTATGTTACAATAGTTTGTATTCTAAGTAAATGGACTTGTACTATACATTTTCTTAATGATGATTCATTCACTCTTAAAAAATCAAACATAAAGGCTCTATGAAAATGTGAATGGCTTGATTTACTGTGTTCTGAATTAGCTTTATTCAAATAGTAAATTTATTGTTTGTAATCTGGAAAAATATGTATCAACTGAATTTTCTTTTTAAACTTTTATCAATAGAAAAAATGAAGGAAAATGTATGGATCTAACTAAATAATGTATGTTCAGTGAGAATGTTTGAGTCAGTTAAATTATTCATATCATAAGAGAAAGGATATAGAAAGTAGTGATCATAAAAGTGAATTACTTTATCTGTGTTAAAATTCACATCATCTTTTCATCAAAGGATAGCATTAAGAGAGTGCAAAAGCAAGCCATGGAGTAGAAAATATGTGTCACTTACAATCATGAAGGGCTATGTCCAAGATTATCATCCCTAGATCCCAAAGGAGAGTGAAGGCATACTGTGGTGAAAGTCCTGAAACTGGAAGAGGGATAGAGGAAAGCCTCTGGCTCACTGGCAGTGTTTTATTTATTGATCTAGATGATAGCTCAGTGTGTGTTTGCTTTGTGACAGTTCATTAAATAATGGGTTTATGTTTCTATACGTTTTTGAGCAAGTATTATATCAGTAAGTAAGATCCTTAAGTCCTTTTCAATTATATAACAGCTTTATTGGGATGTAATTCACATATCATAAATTCATCCTATTAAAGTATAGAATTTGATGGCTTTCAGTGTATTCAGAGTTGTGTGACCATCACTGTTACCTAATTTCAGACCATTTCCATTGTCCTAGAAAGAAACCCCATACCCATTTACAGTCACCCCCATTCTCCCCTGCCTCAGCCTAGGCAACCACTAATTCATGTTTTTATGAATTTGTCTAATTTGGTCATGCAAACGGAATCATACAATATGTGGTTCCTTTCCAGTCTTTATTCTGTTGAGAAATAGACATAAGAATCAAACAGATACAAGTTGAAACCCTAGCTGTATTGCTATGCTGAGGCTTGACCTTTGGCCAAACCAATCTGTGCAGAGGTCGGGGTGCCCTGCTTCATGCCCTCTCAATGCCAGTTCGAGGAACAGAAACAGAAGGGAGGTGGCAGTGTGAGTGACTGCTTCCAAGTGTCCTTCCGCTCTGTAGAACTAGAATCCAATAACTCCTAATGAGCATTCTTTAAAAAAAAAAAATCACTGTGCTTTCAAGAAAACTAGGGAAATAGCTGGGCACTCACTCATACTCCCCCGCTGCCCTGTCCAAAAGAGATAAGAGGAACATTTACTAGAATCTGAGTGGCAACTGTAAGCAAGCACAAAAGCCAGAGTAAACATGGGGACAAATGTCTCTATAAGCTGGGATTTTGAACATATGTATGGAAACTGTTGCAAAGTGCTGAACTGAGCCTAAGACTCCTACATAAGCTGGGGGTCCCTAAAGGAAGCTACAAGGCTCCCACGCAGGGACACCTCCTGGCAGAAACAAGTTAGATTCTCTCAGAAGGAAAGTGATTCAATTGAGGCCCATCAAGTATAAGAAGATATCAATTCAAAATTGAAAACTGGACGAAGTGGGAGAAAATATACCACCTGAGTGAGAGTGAACAAACAACAAACAGCATAGTGAGACTCCAAGGACTTTCTGTTCTGGAATTATCATGTAGATTGTAGAAAATGCTAAGAAGTAAAAGATCCCATTTTAAAAATGAGCAAGAAACAGGCCATTATTTAAAAATGACCAGGCAGTTTTGAAAAGGATCTAATAAAATTAGTAGAAATAAAAAACATGGTTGTTAAAATAAAAAGTCAATGGGCAAGTTAAGCAACTGTTTATTAATGGCCACGCTGTTAGTATTTTGATATGACTCCTTAATGTGGTGCATTGTCCCATCAGTTATGAGTTACCATCTTTACAGGGAGGGCCATGCACTTCACAGGGGCAAAAGCAGGCTGTTTATAATATAGTCCTAGAAATGGGTTATCCATGTAGAAAAAGTGATAATGAATTCTGACCTAGCATAATATTAAAATATCAGTCCCTCATGAATTAAAGATAAGAGGAAAAGGTAAAAATTTTCAAATTTTAGAAGAAGATACAGAATATCTTTATGATCTGTAGTAGAAAGAATTTAACTTATGCAGAACACAAATAATACTGGCTATAAAAGAAAAGATTGAGAAGCTAGAATACATTCCAGTTAAGGATTTGTCTTCTTCAGAAGACATAAAGAAAGTGAAAAGACTAGTTGTCCACTAGAAGAATAGATTTTCCAATATAACAATGAATTAATTTCCAGAACATGTAATGAAATTCTACAGATTTATAAGAAAAAATTTAATAAAGAGTGGTAGTTATTGGTATTTCACAACAACCAAAATACAAGTGTGTGATAAATACATGAAAAGATAATCACAGCAGTTATAGTGAAATGCAAATAAAGGTCATTATTGGAGCAGCGTTTTATACCCATTACATTTACACAGTGAAGTTTGCCAGTAAGGGTGCTAGTGAGGAGGTGGCTCATTAGAAATGTTTATGTTGCTGGTGGGACTGAAAATTTTACAAACACTTTGAAAAATAAATTGACATTCTTTGTGAAGCTGAATATGCATATACCCTAGGACCCAGCAGTTCAGCTTCTAAGTATATATCCTAGAGAAATTCTTGCATGTTATATAAAAGACAGAGAAACAAAGAACTGATTGAAATGTTATTCTTAGAAGCAAAAACTGGAAATGACACAAATGTTTATCTTGGGAGATTATATAAAAATATAGTGTATTCCCACAATGAATTACTACATAGCAAAAATAAACTATAGTTACATTCTTTAACATAGGTGAATCTGGGGGAGTAGGTTCATTTTTCATTTGTTTTTCTTTTTCTTTCGTTCTTTTTTTTTTTTTTAGATAAGTTCTCCCTAAGTAGCCCAGGCTAGCCTCAGACTTGAGATCCTCCTGCCTCATGATCCAGAATGCTAGGATTACAGGTGTGTCATACCAAGCCCAACTGAGTAGGTTCTTAAGTGTTAATTTTATTGTTAGGCTTTGAAACTCCCATCTGTATATTACTTTAAAAAATGTTTTAAATATTACATTGAGAGACAACTGAGAAAGATAGAGGGCTTTCCTGATTCACTCTGGTGGGGAAACCTGAGCCTAGCCCAGGTGTCCTTGGGACAGAGAAAGAACAGAGCAGACACACTGATGTGGCCAGTGGACAGATCCCTCCAAAGATTACAGTAAAGGGCAGGAGGAAACTTGGAGCTGTTAGACATTTTCATTGCTTTGACTATGGTGGTAATTCACTAGATGTGTACTCATCTCGAATTCATCAGATTGTTCACTTTAAATATGTTGAGTTTACTTTAAACACATATAGTTTGTTGTATCAATAAAGCTATTAAAAACAAAAGATAAAATAAAGAGATTGAAGCCAGGCTCTTGTCCCACCCTGCCCAGGCAATTTAGGCCATTTTCCTTCCACAGAGGGGTATGAAGGTGAGACGCTCATACTCCCTGCTTCATAGGCAGTTCCTTTGTGGAAGACAATTATGTGTGTTTTGTTTCTTCCAGCCTAATAATGGCTCCCCACCCCTCAAAATGCTGTATGAATTATGTGCCATACACAGTTGAGTGAAGGTCATCAGATATAATATTACTTATGAGTTATCTAGAGTCAGTATTGATTGAAGAAATATTTGAGCGTGGAATACTAAAATGGTTGAGAATTTGAAGGTAAAATAAAGTGAATGTTCCTTGACTTAAGCATTATTTTGCCTTTCCAACCTTTATGGCTGAAACAAGCCCCTTGTGCTGGAAGTGACGCTTCCTGACATGAGGTTATTCTTGCACACTAGATGGTGTGTTGAGAGCCACGCCTGTGAATGAAGAGCAGCACCGCAGCAAGAAGCTGCGCCTGGAAAAGCATGCGGAGGGCCTGTCCATGATGCAATGACAGCCCTGGGAACACTTCTGCAATACAGCCTTGTGAACTCAGAAAATAAGGGAAGATTTTGTGAATCACTGAAAGGTTTTTTAGGATATGTTATTGAGACTATTTTAATTCTAGATTTATTTATGTATTTTCCAGAATATGGCAGTGTATTCCTTTATTATACTAAATGAGATAGCAATAATTTAAGGAAACCAATCTACTTACCAACAGAGGCAGATTTCTACTGATCTCGAGTTTATACAACAGGTTTAAAAGGGCTGGTTCACTGGAGGTCACACCTGAAGATGGAATTATGCATCTTTTGAGAAATGTTAATTCCTTTGGATTACAAGGGTGACAGTAAACTGCTTCAGGAAACAAAGAACAATCTGGTCATCTTTTAAGAGTCCATGTATAGCTAACCAAAAGGTCACATTTCTATCCAAATCTTTCTAGTAGTCAGAATTCACTTAATTAGGACTGACTTATAAAGTTGGTGGACCTGGTCTCCATTTTAAAAGTATATTTTTTCAAAAGTTAATCTCTTGGCCTGGGAGTGTAAATCAGTAGAATGCTTGCCCAGTATATGCAAGGCCCTGGATTCAAGTCCCAGCACCACAAAAATAAAATAAAATGTTAATTTATCTTAAATATTTCAGTAAATAGATTCACAATGATTTGTTGGACTAGGGCCCAGTTATGTCACTGACTTTTGATAATGATAGGAAGAGAATATTATTCTGAGGCAGTATTGCTGTTTGATATCACTGCCACATGAGATCACTAACAGTGACCTTCAAAGTTGATCATGATGTCACAGAAAAGAAATATTTGAGTGTGGAATATTGAAACCAACATTTTTAGAATTTCATTAATAAATCTTCCTCTCATATAATTTTCCCTTTCCTATTATTAACATGGTTTTGACCTTTAAAAAGAAGGCCTTTTAAGAACCTTTGTAACCTTAAGAATACTGAAAGTAGGCTGGAGATTTAGCTCAGTGGTGCCGCCACCTGCCCCGAAAGCGCAAGGGTCTGATTTTGATCCCCAGTACCAAGAAAAAAAAAGAAAAGAATATTGAAAGTCTTCAAAGTAAACAGATCTATTCCAAATTGCTCTTTGTAATTTTTCTCATTTTGATTTGCTGAGAAACTTTCAGAAAATTAGTCCAAAAATGAACATATGTTCTATACTTTCCTAGGGTTATGGAGGGAGGCCACAGACCTGGGGAATGATGTGTCATGCGAAACAGCTCCCCTACCTCTGTGGAGGTAGTTATTTGCCTTTTCTTTTGTCCCCTTTTTACAACATCATGTGGCCTCAAGGGGCCTGCTACAAGTGTTTCAGAGTTACATAGAGGGTAATCTAAATGTTGACCAGATGTCCTGGCTTACACAGCACCCTGGTGGGATTTCAGAGTCATCATATGCCACACAGTTGAGAACTGCCATAAATATTTACACAGATGTGGGCCATGGAATAGGCGGGGGGTGGGGTACGTGCAAGAGAAGTACCTTGGAGATAACTAATGTTAATTTGGAAACCACTAGTTAAGATATACTTTTTTTTTTATCAACATAAACCTTCTAAGATTGCTTATTTCCCAAATTGCTTTATTTATACATGCTTAAATTCTTGAATTCATTATTTTTACCAATATTTCGTCTATGCCAAATATCTTATAAATCCATCAGCAAATATTTTGTAAGACTCCAAAGCCTGATATATACTGCCAGATTTGTGGTTTTACATATTGACTGTTGGAATGGGATATAAGAAGGGAGAAGTATACAACTGGGAAAACTATGATTAGGAAATGGAAGATTAATATTTCCATAGTATTATTTAAATGGTCATGTTAATGCCATTTTTCTTCTGTACAACTTGTTCAGTAAATTCACTAGGTAGCACCAGAAGGTAAGTTCTATGAAGGCATAGAGATTTTATATATACAGTGAAGTCTGTACAAAATACTCATTTAACTGCCTACAGTGGTACCTTGGTTCCTGAACTCAATCCTTTCCACAATCCTGGTCCTAAACTGAACTAGATGAGAACCGAATCAAATTTCCCCATAGGGTCAACATTGAACCTGACCATTGAATTTGATTCAGTTCTTATCCAACTTGGTTTGCAGTCAGAATCATGCAAAGAGTCAAGTTCATGAGCTGAGGTACCACCTAATCCCAGGGCCTGGAACATAATAAGCACTCAGTATATATTTGTTGATTTATTGATTGATTGCTAGACACCAGCTAGTCCCTGGGGATGAGCTATGTAAGAAATGCCCTAATTTCTGATCTTAAGACATTCGGTCCAGTGGAGGATACAAGCATAATAATAGAGAAATGATTCTGAGCACAGTCCCTGGCTCTGCAGCATCAGAATCAGAAGGGTATTTGTTAGACTTGCACCTTCTTGGGACCCACCCCAGACCTATTGAATCAGAACCTCTGTGTCCATCCAGCAAGCTGGGTTTTCACTGGCCCTCGGGGGATTCTCATGATCTTGAAGTCTCATGTAACTGTAGGAACAGTGGTGGCGCAAAAGGACTATGAACACTCTTAGAAGCCAAAGTGCTAAAGTGGGTCCTGAAGGGGGGTCAGGGTTTGCCAAGCAAACAGCAGTAATGCAGTGAACTGAGAAAGCTGTGGAAACATATGGCCACCCTGCAGGTGGGAAAGGAAAATGGCTGGGCAGCACACAATAGGTGTGCAGCCCAGAGCCCAGAGCCCAGAGCCCACCTGGGTTTGAAGAAGCTATGTATGGCAACTCATCTGCAAATGCCTAGTCAAAAGGCTTCATCCCTTAGCTGGAGAAATCAACATGTACATTTAAACAAAAAACACAGTGCCTTCCCTAATTTCCAAGGTAGGGACAATAATGGCAAATTCATAATCTGTAAAGAATAATTCTACTAGAGGGGGCTATGCACTTGCCTGGTTTATTCCATGTCTGTCATGCTGAGTAAACATAGATTTGTGTGTTTTTATTGTATTACTGGTGATACTTTTTTTATAAATCTGACTTTTCTGCATGTTTTTCTTTCTCAACATACTGAGTTTAAGAATATACAATTCACTCATAAGGCTTCCTCTTTTTATGCATAAACAGTTCTGCCGTGGGATCAGCCACAGCCATATTTTACATATTTTACAGCCACTTTTGACATATTTTAGAGCGAGTGGAATTGAACGCCAGTTTTAAGAGTCCTTGTATTGCCAATAGTGGCCACCTGGTGTTGAGTTATGATAGTTACTGCTGTGTTTTGGGACTAAAGTTAGGATTTTCATCTCACGTGTAACATTCCTGAAGTCTTGTGATCTTTTTGCTGTCATTTAAAATTACAAAGTATTGCCAGGCATCATGGGGAACATCTATAATCCCAGCACTTGGGAGGCTGAGGCAGGAGAATCACAGTGAGTTTGAGGCCAGCCTGGACTACACAGTGAGACCCCGTCTTAAAAAAACAAATTAAATAAGTAAGTAAATAAATAAAATTGCAAAGTATCGGAGACGTATAAAAAGGTACAAACATAGTTGTAAGAAATCCTTTGAACCTAACATGCAGAATTAATATATGTTACCATTTGGACTAAATTACAATATGATTATGTAATTTAGACCCCAATTTTGAGATCTGAGGTGGAGCCTTATTCTACACCTTTTCTGCATTTGCTCCCAAGGGCACCTCCTGGATTTCTGAAAGGACATCCACGCTCACTACAGGGCCACAGGATCACAGCCTAGCCCTAGACCCTGGAGGACCATTCCTGAGAGAGCTCCCATTATGCCTCCTCCTAGGAGATTCTTTTGAGCCAGTTTGTTCTACTTTGTTCCATTTTGTCTCTCAAATTTCTTTCTAATATTTTGTGATAACTTTCATAAGAGGCAAAGATAACCAGTTGCTCTAACACGGAGCAACCTAGTTCTGGTTGGCAGGGGAAGTTTTTCGGGCTGGAGGTTTTGAGGAATTTCTGACTCTGCCTGAACAGGCCCTCAGTCAGGTGCATTGGGCCTGCTGCAGAAACTGGGAAATATCCTCACTTGAGCTGGGGAGGTCTGCTTTACCGCCTAAGAAGAAGATTCTGAATGGGACAACCAAAACCGCCCCAGTTGAAAGCCATTATGAGTAAATATTTTCTTAAAAAAATAGACTTAAGGACCATCTTACTGAGTATAACTATGGCAGCAATGGCTTTTTATGATCAGATATCAAAACTTGAGAATGATAGATTTCACTATATGATCTTTAAAAAGACTTTTAAAAATTAGGTTTATCCCACCATGGTGGCATGTGCCAGCTACTCCAGAGGCTGAGACAGGTGAACTGGAAGTTTAAGGGTAGCCTGGGCAACTTAGTAAGAACATGTCTCAAAATTTTAAAAAATAAAAAGGGCTACAAATGTAGCTCAGCGATAGAGCACTTACCTAACATGTGTGCATCCTAGATTTGATCCCAACACTGCAAAAATATTTTTTAAAACTGAAAATGATTTTCAAAATATTGATGTTGCTTGATTTAGACTCTTACAACATTTCGAAATAGTATTTTTAGTGTGCAACATTGTCAGAGAAAAACAGTGAGAAGACATTGGAAATTGAAAAGAGCTAATAAGACCATTAGTTATTGAAGAAATCTTTCCACCTTTCTGAACTCAGATTGTCTCCAGATCTGTCAAAAACAATGTGCCAAACAGATGAGCTCTAAACTCCTTTGAAATCTGAGTCTACTTAAATGTAATTCATTAAACATAGTAATGTTTTTATTTTCTAGTTCCTAAATTAAATTATGCATTGGACATTTCATTTTTGTTGTTGTTATTGTTGTTTGCAGTACTGGGAGCATCTCATCAACTGTCCTCTAAACCCAATAGGTCAGACAGACTCAGCTCTAACACCCCAGGGATGAAGAAATTGGCACCTCATAAAGCCACACTGGAAGTGTCCTCATTAAAACGTTATCTTTATGGAATGACTGCCACCCCATCTCGTCCCCCACATTTCCATCATTGATCCTTGGACTATAACACAGACCTCTTTGTGTCTCATCCTGTACTACATGAATGGGCTTCAGTACGTGAAAGTGGCCATTGTGTCTTACTGTCCTGTGACCAACTCCCACCCCTCTGAAAATTACTGTGTCATTGTCCACAGGTTTGTGTGTTATGGGAAAACACTTGTCACACTACCTCATTTAACCTTCACAGCACGAAATGGGGATTATCACCTCTACTTTTACAGACAAGAAGATGGAGTGACAGGTTACAGGTCTTACCCAAAACTGCACTGATAGTCATTGCAGAGCCTGGAAATGAACATACTTCTCCAAATTCATAATCTTTACACTATTCATTAACTTTGGCCCGGTGTCTCTGCATTCTTTCTTTTCATCTACAACTCTGCTTGTCTCCTATGGTAGAGCATTGATGGCTCTGATTTTTCACCTTTCTATAGTTACATCCTTCACCAAATGGCTTTGCAAGGTCCTCCCATCAAGATGTAGAGTATATTTCTGTACCTTGACTTTGGATTCCACAGAATAAGGCAGAAATGTCCTTGATCCAGTTGTGATATCAAGCCTCAAGGAGCCTTTGTGTTTCCACTGATTCATTTGTGTTTCTGCCACCACCAAACACCAGCACAGAGCCACCCCCAGTCAGGGCAGCCTAGATTAGGGGTACAGTGTCCAATCCACAGACTGGTGAGAAAAAAATCATTTGTTTCAAGCTACTGCATTTAAGAGGACTTGTTACTCAGCATTTGGTTAATGATTGTGATGGTTTATTGAGTGTCAACTTGAGTAAGAGAAGCTCAACTAAATTGGCTCAACAATTCCACACCCTAGGGTGTGGAAGACCCCCCCCCCCCGCCCAGGGCACCTGGATGGTATAGAAGTGAACTGGATGAGCATGGTTCTGAGTGTGGCTGAGGGGATTTACTGGAGATGAAAGCCCCCGCCCAGGGCGGCCTGTCGGCTGGATGGTATAAAGGAGAAATGAAGTAGGATGGATCTGCTTGTTTCCTCGGAGGAGCTCCAGCCTTTGCCTTTACCTTGGACATCATCTCCCAGCATCGAGTGCACTCTTCAGCCTTCCTTCGCAGACCCATCAGCCTCCTGATGTGGATTTGCACAGGACACTGCAGCGAGCTCCAGACTTTCTACTGGACCCTTTGGTCTCCAGTGTTCAGACAGAACCTCTGCACTCTTCCTCATCTGACTCTGGGTGGCCACTGTAAACTAATCTCTTGTAAATTCTTTGTATATTTGTATATCTTGTGTTATATCTGTTTCTCTAGTAAACACTGAGTGATACAGTGATGTATCTCTCCAACTTTCAAAAAAGAGTCTTCCCTTAACCCACTGTGCTCCTTTCCCTTTGTAAGTTGAAAGCCTGTGTTAGCATTCTCAGTGACCTCATCTTTCATTTCATTTTCAATTTGGCTGCATGGGGGCAGGGGAGGGCGACCATTTTAAATAGGGAAGGACCACAATTGGAGGAGAAGCAGTGATTTGACCCCAGACAGGAAGGTCCTGCAATAGTCCAGACTAGAGGTGATGCGGTCCACCGGACATTCTCGTCATCAGGAGCCCTGTCAGAGCACCGGGCCTCTACTTGCAGACTTGGTTTTGTTTAGTTTTTGTTTTGGTGCTGGGAATAGAAACCATGGCTTCTGCACTAGGTGAGCACTCTCCCCCTAAGCCACACCCCCAACCCAGGTGTTTAGTTATTCCTTGTCCTTTGTCCTCAGGCATAGGACTCCACATTTAGCCCACTACCTCACTGTCTCCCTCCTCCTTAACCTTGTTGTGAAGCGTGACTGGGAGTCTACAGACTGACCACCGACCACACTGAACAGGAGCAAAATCAGCTTTATTGCCAGCAGCTTCAAGGGATTCAAATCACCTTGAAAGCATCAAACAAGTTTACTCTCATTTTTATACCTTTATGTTACTATGGAAGGGGGGAAACAGCAACCATCATCACTGGGGAAACAGTCATCAATCTAAACATAATTACATAAGCAAAGGGACAATGAAGGGGAAGCAGGAGGTTTGGCAGGGCTTTCTGAGGTCACCTTGCTCTGGTGAGTTTGCGTTACAGTAGTGACTATAGTCACAGTATATCTCAGCAAGCATAGTTACACAGTTAACCCATAGTTGCCCATTTTTACACCCAGAGGTAGTTTTTGCCAGAGGTAGTTATAGCCACAAGTTAGTTATCCCTCTCAGACTCATGTCACTTGGTCATATGATATTTCTGTTCCAGTGAAATCACAGATCATATTGACTGGATCTCGCTTTGTAGTTCAGTCTGGCCCTGAACTCACTATGTACCCCAAGATGGCCTCGAACTCGCAGCGATCCTTCTGCCTTGGCCTCCAAGAGCTGGGTTTACAGGCGTGCGCCACCATCCAGGGCCATATTAACTTTTAAAAGGAGCCCCGCCTGTTCTTTTTTCTTTTGGTTCCAGGGATCGAACCCTGGTACCAAAAAAAAAAGCCCCACCTGAAGACTATAGTAAAGACGTAAATACCGTTATTTATTTGAGCCACCAGAGGGCGATATGTCCCAGAAATGGATCCTTACAGTGGAAACTAGAATGAACATTGTTGGATTCTGTGAGATTTGGAAATTCAGAGTGAGGAGGATGTAAAGCATAGGAAAGGAGAGTAAGCCAGCAGATGGCTGGAGCAGCAGATGGCTGTGGATCCATAGGTAGGAGAGAGAGGGGAAGAGGTTGGCAGGGAGAATGAAATCACAAGGGGCTAGGGACTACTTCTAATGACACAGTCATGTTTGTACCTTAAAACCGTCATTCTAGCATCAGTGTGGACAGCCTATCAGTATGGAGTGGAGGAAGCAGGAGGGGAATTGGGTGGCTGGTGGTTGATTCAAAATGAGAAATGACTAGGGTCCATGCAAAGGTGTCATTTAAAAGGAATAAAGGAGGGCCAGGGATTTAGCTCAGTGGTTCCAGCACCTACCTCACAAGCGCAAGGTCCTGAGTTCGATCCCTGGTACCAAAAAAAAGGAATAAAGGAGGGGACAGAAGCATGTGGGTGAACCATGCAAAAAGAGGGTGGAGTCTCAGGATGGTAAGGAGGCACCCAGGGTAGAGAGCAGGGCTACAGCAGGGAGGGGGGAGGCAGGCTGCAGGTGTGATAAGGAAAGATGCAGTGGTGTTGGGATTCACACAGAATGTCACTCATTCATTCGAAAATATCCACAGCATTTACTACACCCCCAGCAGGGGATAGATCCTGAGATATGTACATGAAGAAAACACTGGCCCCAACACATACTGAGATTTGCGCCCTAGAGGAGAGGCACACAGGAAAGTAGGGGTCAGAAGTCAAGGAGGGAATATTTAAACTGAGAGAGGATGGATGAGAACAAGAAGTAGGTTCACAAAGAATGCTGGGAAGATTGTTCTAGGCACCCAAAATCTCATGGGGCGGCCTGAGGGGAGCCCATAGGTAGGAATTGAAGAGCAGCCAGCCTTGCTGAGACTTACTGGAGGAGAACAGCAGGGACAAGACCTGGCCATGCTTTGAAGATGGTGATACAGGCTTTGGAGTTGACTCTTGAGTGTCAAGGGAAGCTACTGGAGGGTGTGGGGCAGGGGGAGCCACGGCCGGATCTGACGTATATACATGGGTCACTTTGGACACTGGGGAGATGCGGAGATGGGTGCAGTCCAGGTGGGGGAAGGCAGATGCAGAGCAGAGCTCAGATTTGGTGCTCCTCTCAGAAGCGGAAGTGCCCTTGTTGTTGAGCGTGGGTGAAGGCAGAGGACTCTCACATGACATCTGGTTTCTGGCATGAACAACTAGGGGAAGTGAAGAGTCATCAGTGGTGCTGGAAAAGATAGGTGCAAAGAACAGCAAGAAGCCACGGTTCTGCTTTGGACTTGGGAACCTTGAGAAGGGAAGAGCCAGCCAGCAAGCAGGTGGGTACATGCATGAGGCTGGAGATCCGCAAGGATGGGCTGGAGGCAAATTCTAGGCATTAAGAGGGGGTGATGGAGAGGACAGGCAGAGGACAAGCTGAGGCATGCTGCTCCTTGGATGAGGAGTGGAGGAGACTGATGCCCATGGGGAAGGCAGAGACAGTTTCATGGGAGCTGAGAGAAGACAGTGCTGTGACAGGAGGCCCTGTCTTCACCTGCACTGAAAGCGAATCTGATGAGGACAAACATGGCTGGTGGATCTGGTGACCCCAAGGCCTTCAGAGTGTTTTCAGGGAGGTGGGTGAGGCCATAGGGCCTGGCTTGCGAGGTACCTTGGAGGTGAGCAGGGGCAGCTGGCTTGTGTAGTAACTAGAGAAGTTTCCCTCTGAAGGGGTGCAAGGTGATGGTTTAGGTTCTGGTGTGACAGGCTGAAGGCTAGAGGACGGCTGCTGTTTCTGATGGGTGGCAGGGGCTCTATGACAGCAGAGGCCGGGAGGTAGCCAGGCATAGTGAGGGATGCAGCTGCCTGTGGGGACTGGAGAATCAGAGCCTTGAGCCAGGGGCATCAGGACTGCTTACCGAAGGTCATTCCCTACAGCTTGGTTCTCTCAGGGCACTTGGGTGAGTCAACAGGCCCCAGCAGTTTATTTGATGGAGGCAAGAGAAAGGGAGCCATTAAAGATCACATCAGTTAGCCAGGTGTGGTGCTGAATGCCTGTAACACCAGCACTCTGGAGGCTGAGGCAGGAGGATCACAAGTTCAGCCCAGCCTGAGCAACTTAGTGAGAACCTGTCTCAAAAAAACAAAGAGCTGGGGATGTAGCTCAATGTAAAAGGCCTGGGTTCAATCCCTAG